AGTTTCTTTAAATAATTTCTAAAGTTCTTATTATATTTTGTTTAAAAAAAAAGGCCAGAGAAGAATAAAATTAACTATGATGACAAAACTGTGATACCAATTACTGTGATACCACCTCACATATCAAACTTTATCAGACTTTCAGACTGTGTGTTTTTCTTTTCCTGCCAATTGACAGGGTGTTAAGATCAGTTCTGTTCCAAAGAAAAGAGACAAAGATCATGTTGAGAGACAATTATCAAAAGTTTGTCTCTTATGGAACAGCCATCTCATACACAGTCTAAGACATAGAAAGAGTCATCAAATGAAAAAATTCATTCTTAAGCCACTGGACCCCAAGGATGCTGATGCTTATGAGACACTTTGGAGACTATTGTTTGACCCACAGAGTTAGGCATATGTAACCCCTCCATGGAATAATAAAGATGTATTTGGTGACATAATAAATGGAACTTTCAAAGCTCAAGAGGTACCCTCTTGAGCTCAATAAAGAGAGGGCCTTTCCAGGTACGCACCTCATTAAAGTAGTTTAACAAAACCTTTGTAGTGTGGACAAGATGCCAGCGGACATTAGATTGCACTAAATCTGCCAGGGAGACTGGATTAAACTGATTGTATTTTGGCAGCACAAAACTCTTTTGGACCACAAGGAGTCCTCAAAACCCCCCTTATTTCCAACGTGAAGAATGGTACCTTGGCAGCCAGAACAAGTGAACTTGTTCACTAAAAGCAAACAGTTCATTGCTTTCTTGCTGGCACTGAAGGATGAGCAATATATCCATTTCCCTTCCCCAAATTCGCCCTAAAAAATATACACATTTTAAAGGTCTTTGGGAACAAATGGCAACTCAAAGGATTGGAAAAGCATGAAAAATGACTTTCCAAAGTAGCCAAGGTTTAAGGCATTGGAATCTAAGAAGCTTACCGTCTGGCCTCTGGCTCCCTTGGGTCCAGTTTCTCCTGGACCACCAGGGTCTCCAATCTCACCCTAAATAAGTTCAGAAAAATAAGATAAAAATGGTTATTAAAACCAAAGAGAATAAACAGAAAAAAAGAGAGAGAGAGAGAGAGAGAGAGAGATATCTCAATGTGTTTTTAAACTGATTGCAACATGAAGACATGTTCATACACATTTTTATCTTTAATGGTCTTCTTTCAGGTGCTCCCCCCTCCTCATCCTTACAGCTCTCTGCATAGCATGCTACATCCTCATTGTTTTACTTCTGTCTCCAATCAGAACGCAGCCTCTTTGGAGACCTGAACTACGCCCTCTGTTTTGTCCCCTGATCTTATCCCAGGACCTGACGTTTTCTCAATGTTTCCAGGAAAAGTGAAAGCCTTAAGGTAGAGGACAGCATGGCTAACTTACTATTCAAAGGTGATTTATAAACACATTGAGAAAATTGAGCCAAGTGAGATGGGGTAATTTTCATTTTCTTTACATTTCACTTTCTTTTGAGAAAGAAGAAAATACATATGATAGATGGGGAAGGAGTACATGTGAGGGAAAAATAAGGCTGATTTCTTCCTTTACCTATGAATTAAACAACTAGAAATAAAAAACAAATTTTTAAAAGCCAGCTTTTGTCTTTCCTTCTTTCCCCCATAAAGCTTTCTTTTTATTCGTTTATAACTAACTGTCCTTCCATTGTCCCATGGTACGTTTCAAAATCCCAGGAATATTTCCGATTGATCTCTAGTTAGTATAAAGCACACAATACCTTAGGTCCACTTTCTCCAGGAAATCCTTCTTGTCCCTATAATTGACAGTAGGGAAAATTACTATATGTATCACCAAGGTAGGTTCATATTGACTTTAATTTTACCTGCTGCCTTACTTAGTTTTAGTGCCTGTGAACCAAGGAAGGATTAAAACAATTAAAAACAAAACTGTATAGTACTATTTGAGAAACTAACTTCAATTTCTAAATTAAACCATATATTCGTTCACTCAAATATCATGACAACTGAACATAAGTGGATCAATGTACACAGCTGAAGAATGACAAATCAGCTCTCCTTCTACTGTAGGTATATCACAGGAAAGCTAGTTATTTGGCCACATGTCTCTGAAACAGTCTTCTTAAAACAGATCTCAATGGAGAAATTTGGGAGTCTAAACTTGATCATTTAACGGTCCTTTGCTTACCTTACTTTGGCCACAGACTATAGTTGAAGAGGTATGATAATCCCCATTTGATGAAAAAAAATATTTTATTTAAAATAGTTTATTTTCTGATTATTAAACTATCTCCTCAAACATATAAAATACAAAAGAACAGAACGAATAAAAGTCACCCAAATCTCATTACCCAGAATGAGCTTATATACTTTGTCATATTTTCTTTTAGCTTTTTAAAAATGTACTTTAGCACAATTGGGATAAGTAGGGTTTTTATCTGATTATATTCTGATTTATTTTACTTGACATTGTCACATAATAATTTTTTTACATAATTATTAACTTCATATACATTTGTTTTAAAGAGTGCCTAATACTCCAATGCTATATAGGCTACTTAATATTTCTCCTTTCTATGAGATATTAAGATTATTTTCAATTATTCTCTATTGTAAAGAACATTTCAGTGAAGACTCTCATTCAATAGTTCTTTTTTCAAAGAAATTAGCTTTTCTTTGAGGGGGGGTGGTGTTTATTCTTCCAGACATCCCTTGCATCATTAGTATTTTACTTGGAATTACACTAATCTTTTATAATGTTTCAGACTTTTCAACATGAACTTGGTGTGTCTCTATTTATTGAACTTTTTCTTTTAAAGTTCATTAATTCTTGTCCTAGGTCTGAAACATTTTGCATAAAGGACATTCTTAACCATATTGTTTTTGTGGATGTTATGATTTCTAAGTGGTAATTACAAATATATATAAATCGCTGGTTTTGATGAACCTACCTCTTACTTCCAGACACTTAAATATTCAGTGATAATATAAAATTATCATTTTGATATAGTTAAAAGGTTTTATTTCTAAATGACTGCTTGGCCCAATGAATTTAGAAAGGACCTATAAAACCTCTCACGAATGGCTAAAATAAACATAATAAGAGGAGGACATATTTTTGAATGTCTCCCTAAGTATACTCGAATGTGGAGTTGCTAGGATTCAATGCACTGTTCAGGCTGAAACAAGTCAGGCCCTGGCTGTACATCTCTGCAAATCCCAGAAAACTGATTTTCGAGTTTCAGTTGTTGCCTGTACCTTAAACACAAAGTTGTTTTTTATTCTAGCACATTTCCCACAGGATATCAGCAACAAATCATCAAAATCTCTCTATAAATGTCCCAAACTGCCTTGTTCATTGCTTTCTTTTTCTCTTAACTGCAGCAAACAAAAACCAAGCAACAAAAAATAAATGGAAATGTCTAGCTTGCAGTTGACAAGTCTTACCTTTGCTCCTTTACTTCCAATGTTCCCATAACCTGGGTTGCCATCACCACCCTGTAAACAAAGCAATTAATTACACACATCCCAGACTACAGAGGCAGGCTTATCACTAGAGAACAAGACAACCAGCTTTTTGGTTTGATTAGGAGAAATTAGGAAGCAGGAGTCTCCCTCTGGGCAGGCCAGTGACATTTGTTGATAGTGACCCTCAAGGTAACTCTCAATAACATACACAGACAATGCACTGTCCCTTAGTCTCACTTGTTTCATCTATAAAGTGAGAATAATAATTATACCTACTCGTGGTGTTATTATGAAGAGAAAATGAGAAAACATCAGGCATATAGTCATCTCGAAAAGGTATTAGTGGTGCTCTCTCTTGCAGATAACATTTATATTTTAATACCTTAGCTCTATGCCATTTCAGTTTGCTAGATAAAAATAAGACGCCTTAAACGCCTGGGCCTTGGTTACTACCGATGGACTCTTGTAGAAGGCCTTAGTGAGAAGCCCTGAGCTCTGGGAGAAGGCTGGGTTGGATTTCTGATGAATGGGTTCGGATGGGAAGAAAGAATGGAAGAAGGGTTATAAGGATGCTAAAGACAAGTTTTGTCCATTTTATCATTTGGCTTCAAGAGCACCTTGGCCACGATATTTGGTACCTGGGAAATTATCACCTTGGAAAAGGTAGCCGAGGAACTAATCCAAGATGAGGATAATATCTCAATTCCTAGAAAGCTATATGGCTAGATTGAGATAGCATCTTTAACACTCTCCAGAAAACCACACCTGACATTCATTGAACTAAAAGATTCCAAGGGCCAGATAAAAAGTAGTGATAAAACACAAACCGGCAAGCCTCGTGGCCCAAGAAGGCCGATAGCTCCTTTTTCTCCCACATCTCCAGGTTCTCCCTGTTAAACAGAACAATGAAATGTGTCCTTATTAAGTTGTTTTTATAAAGGAAATTAGAAATGATGGCACTAAGACACCTTTAAAGTGTATCCATGTGTATCATACCATGACAATGGCTTCATGCCCATGATCGTGAGTCGTGCAAGCAATACAAGAATAACTGCTGTTGCTGGCTAAGGAGGTCCATGCTATTGATAAATGAAACTTCAGCAAGTCTGATGCATTGTTTAGTGCAAGTTGTCATCTGAGCAACTCGGTGCCATGAACCACGCCCTTGGAAATGTTTTACCATGAGTCAAAGAGGAAGCTTGATACTGTTTAAGAAAAGTAACAACACTATTTTCCAGGATGATTCATGCAGATCATCTGGCTGCTGCAAAGACAATAGACTTATTAAACTAATTTTAAGATCTGAAGTGTCCTTCAAGACAAAGGTAGCATAGCATCCGTGGCAATAGTTTTTGACTTCTGACTACTAGAACATCTATTATGGGTTTTAAATCAATCTCAGAAGTATGTTGAGGAAAGTCTAGCTACTTGGGAAAGTTGACATAGGGTTACAAAAGAAGGTTAATTCCTTAAAATAAAAACTTTCAAAGTTTTAGATTTTAGTATACAGAAACATTGTGAAGATAGTACAGAGTTCCTATATGTTCCACATCTCGATTCCTTATTGTTACCAATACATTAGTTATATGACTAATGTCACAATATATGAATATTGATTAGTCACAATATATGAATATTGATTCATTATTATTAGTCACAATATATGACTATTGACATTATTGGCATATGACTATATATTGTGACATTATTAGTCACAATATATGAATATTGATTCATTATTATTAACTAAAGCCCATACTTTATTCAGATTTCCTTAGTCTTTACCTACTATCCTTCTTCTGTTCCAGGATCTCACATGTCATGTCTCCTTATACTCCTCTAGACTGTGTGACAGTTTTATGAAATTCCTTGTTTTTGATGACCTTGACAATTTTGAGGAGTACTGGTCAGACATGTTGTAGAATGTCCTAGGACCAGTTGGGGTCTGTCTGACATTTTTCTCATGACTAGGTTGGGTTTTATGGGTTTTAGAGATAAAGACCACAGAGGTAAAGAGCCATTTTCATCACATTGGATCAAAAGTATATGCTATCAACGTGGCTTTCGCTATGGATGCTAACTGATCATCTGGCTGAGGTGGTGTTGGTTGAGTTAGGCTCCTGTCTAGATATCCCTCCTGCCCTTTCCATATGTTCTCTTTGGAAGAAACAGTGTAGAGGTGAGCATAGCCCACATTAAGGAGTGGGAGTGGTTAATACATTTTTAAGGATAGAAAGGCAAGACAGTAAATGTGAGAAGTGCAAATGGACAAATGCCCCCCAGCACTGAACTCTGGGAGTGAAACAGAAGAGGGTTCCTTGGAAGGGAAAAAGGTCGCCTGCCCTAATGGCTTTATTTCTCTCAAAAGTGTGCTCTGGGTACCACCTGCTTCATAATTACGTGAGGTCCACATACAAAAGGAAATTTCTGGACCCTACTGGTATCAGTCTCTGGTAGTGAAGCCCAAGAATATGCCTTTTATTTAAAAAGAAGCTTATTTAAAGCTTCTCAGTTGATTCTCATGCATGCTGATGTCTGAGAACATCTGTTTTAAGGTAGGGAAACAAGGGAAGCCATATGGTTTGTCCAGGGTCACACTCTTTGTTATTCATACAACCGGGCTGTTCAGTTCAAGATTAATTGCTGAGTTTTTTGCCTTTCCAGGAACGTGAGCTGATTGGATAGTAGTGTTTGGGAGCTCAATTTTGTTAATGCACCTGGAGGGTTTGGTCCATCTTAGGGCTGCTCAAGGGTTTGGGGTTGCTTTGAGGGCACTTACCCCCAAATTCTTGCCACTTCCCCTTTAAAAGTCCTTCTTATTAGTAATGATCTTCTTTGACACAACTACTCTGCTCATATCTATCTCCTTCCATATTCTCACCTACACATCCAGCTCTAGGGTCCCTCCATCCCTGTCTACCCCTCTCTTGGTCCCTTCTATCACACATTATGGAGTGTCTTCATTTCACATGCAAACCTCTCTACACCCATGACATCTGCACACGAACACACATCCTCCTCACTCTATGGAGTGTCTTCATTTCACATGCAAACCTTCTCTCTACACACATGACATCTGCACACGAACACACATCCTCCTCACTGTAAGATAAACTTGGTTCTCACCAGTGACACCACCTCCCCTACAGCCTTCGCCCAGACAAGAAGGCAGCACTGTCTCTGTTCTAATCTTTCCTTTCCAGATCATTATTGCTACTTCTTTTTGAGCCGATTATCCTTGTCATCCATGTATCTCATTTCACCCTGCAATCAACTGTCGTTGTAACATTTGACTACTGGCCTCCATCATTACAGCCCTTCTTAGCAGTTCTCCATTACAAAGCTAGCCCCTCATCTTATGCCCTCAGTCTCAGCCTGTGTCAAGAAACTTCCCCATTAATCATCTACTCTTTTTTACATCTTTAATCTCTTCCTTTCTCTCTGGTTTTCTCTTCTCTGCTCATAAACACACTATGGTCCCTCCTTATCACTGAAGACAAACAAATACTTTGTTCCACTCTGTCCCAGACTCTGCCTGTAGTGGTTAATGTCCCTGTCCATCCTTCCTAAGCCTATTTCTCCAAAGATTAATTTAAAGCCCTGTATCCGTTTCCTCCTCCTCAACACAATGCTCAGTCCTTTGCAGACTGTCTCCCTTTCTTTCTCCTTGTCTCAGTTGATACATTTTGAAACTATTCTTTGGAGCATCTTAGCCACCAGATGTGACGGCTGCTCTACTCCTCCCTTCCTTACCTGTTCTACACCAGCTGATACTCTTGACCTCTCTTTCTTGAACGCTTCTTCTCAGCATCTAGTGTGCTCTTCTGTTTCTTTCTCCTTCTAATAACTCCTTGTCTGTCTCCTCTCGCCCTTCTCACAAATAGACATCCCATGATTCTTTTTAACCCCTTTCCCGTTTGCCCTTAGAATACTCGCCGGTGGCCCTTGAGGCTGCGGTGTTTACCTGAGATGACTCTTGGATTACAGTCCTAACTTTACCCCTCCCCCAAAGTTTGCCATGAAATATCTATTATTTTTGTATCCTTCTAGTATATCGATAGCCTGATCATTCTATTTACATCATTCTATTTATAGCATTCTGTTTTTAGTAGTGGCATTTCCATTTGCAAAGCATGGTAATTCTCGATTGCTGAAAATGTCAAATCCCAGATGTTCCGCTGTGTGTTGTTTCATGCTTTGACATTTACCACACACACACAAATTATTAAATACTGATCATATACATTTCTGTTACATTAGGATTAGAGATAAGTTCTGTTTAGAAATAACTCCAAGAACAGTTTTTATATTTTCACATTGAAAACTTGTCAGATGTGCGTCAGCCCCAAAGAGCATGTTTGTAAAATTAAATTAACACTGGCAGCGGGTTGCATTTTTTTTTTTTCCTAAACAGGAAATGGGTTAAAAATCTAAATGACTCTGAAACCTGCATCTCCAACCAGCCCTAAACACTTTCCTCTATTTCTCTAAACTGAGTGAGTTTCTTCACTTTCACACCCACTGTCCCTCATGACTTTCCTACTTCTGTGATGGTTTTGCCACTCATTCTGGAAGCCCCTGAGTCATATAGCCCTCTTCCCTCTGCCTCAGTTCCCTACCGGAAGAGTACTACAGAATCATCATGAGCCCCTGCTGTCCTCACCCTGTTAAGCCATCTAATCACTCCTTGTTTTGCAGACTGAGAGCATAACTAATTTCCTAGCATCCAGTCTCCCAGCCTTCAAAATATCTCTACACCGAGTTGCCTATTTAAAATCTTCCAAAGTCTGGCTGTGTTCACACACGCCATTCAGAAATTGTAAACAGCACTGTTCTGACTACCTAATAAAGTCAGTCACCCTGACTTTCTGTTATTTATGTGCCCATCGGGCAGGATCAGTTTTCATCCCCCAAAAACTTGTTCCCAGGATTTTCCAACCCTGTGCTCTCCTTCACCCTATTTCTTCCCCCTGAAATTTCCCATGCCCCATCACTGCTTGCTAAAGTCTTACTTGTCTTCCAATGTCCACTCAAAATCTATATTCTCTATGATACCTGTTTTCCCAGCCTAGAAATACTGCTATTAACACTACATTTAAACCTCCATTTCAGCCCCTTATTCCTACTTTATGTCATAGATTATTGTTCTGAAAATATTCTAAATTCTGTGGGGTCGATGCCATATATTACTCATTATACAACCAGAAACTCTTTCATTAAACACATATTTACTAAGCACTTACTATGTGCCAGGTACTGTTCTAAGCACTAGGGAAGCAGCAGTGAGCAAAACAAAGATCTCTGCTCTCCTAGAGCTGATCTTCCAACATAGCTGAGTGTGAGTCCAGTGCCTTTGTCTCAAAAGGTGTTCAGCAAAGGTTTGTTGAATGGAGGAAAGAAATAACAGAAGGAGAGATTAAAAAAAAATGGAGAGAGGAAGGGAGAAAGAAAAGAAGGCCTACCCCAAAACAGATCCCCTTCCCTGAGATCCCTCAGCTCAGAGTGGGTGTAGCCGCTGGTGAGATTATGCTGGCTGGAATCCCTGACTTCATCCTTGTCCACACCCATGTCCTAAATGTTGCTGGCTCTCTAAGAATCAAGTCAGGCTAGAGGGCCAATGGGATACGTTCTCTTTTGTGTTGAAAGGGTTCTGGCTAATACAACTGGACATTTCCCTTGAGGAGAAAACCTCAACTTTGGTGGGTATAAAGAATGTGACCTACTTTATTTCCTTGGCTTCCCAAATGGCCTTGGCTCCCTGCCTCTCCTCCTGGTCCTGGAGGCCCCTGAAACAAAACAAAGATTGCAAATATAGGAGAACATAAAGCAACTTTCCTTGAAACTCTTTGTGTCTCTTCTAAGAGGAAAATGAAACACAGATGAGAAAAGACTTATGGTTTTATTGATTCCTGTTCTGGAAAAAAGTATCACAGCTGTCAAATAAACACTAGTAAATAAAGGAAAATTAATAAAGTAATTCATGTCAGATGTTGTCTAAATGATTGTGCTTCCTTGAGAGCCTTCTTTTCCAAAGAGATTTTAGGTTCTCACTGTTTTGTGGTCAGAGCAGATGTTGCTAAAATGTCATTTAAAGTGGGCATTCCAAATGACATTTGCCTTGAACTATATTTTTCCTAGTTCCTTGCTTTGGTAGAAAGCATGGTGTGTGTGTGTGTGTGTGTGTGTGTGTGCGTGTGTGTGTGTGTGTGTGTGTGTGTGGTAAACATCTTTATTTGTAAATAATATTATTTGTATAATAGAAAGATCAAGAAACTTTACTAAAAGTAATTAGCATTAATAACAAGATATGTTCAGGGAGTACAATATTCTGAAATAGTTTTCTCTTTCCTAACAATAAGTTAGAAAAGTAAATGTAAATAAATTTCCATTTACCAATGGGGAAAAAAATTCCTTAGAATAAACTTAATAAGGTAAATGACCTACATAAAGAAAGCTTTAAGATCTTATGGAAGAATATAACAAAACTTAAACAGATGAATAAACATACCACGCATCTACATGGGAAATCTGTTTGATATAATAGAAATCTCTCTAACATTCTAAAAGGCATGTTTCATTGGAATAGTTTTAGAGCTGAACATTTAAAAATCCCAATTCAGAGACAGTCTAACTACCTTCTTACGTTATTGACACTTGGGATCAGATTTTTCCCTTGGGTTAGCAAAATCTCTTTTGGTTAAGCAGTTACAGATACTTGTAAATAATCCCAATACTAGTGAATTGAAATAATTCTCACAATTATTTTTAACCCTGGTTACAATTACTTAAAAATAAACAAACCAAATCTGTGTAATACACATAATACTTACCAAGAAAATTTTGTTCAGAAGAAAATTATAACATTAATATTTCACCTTAAAAGAATTTAAATGTAATAAGTTGGACATAAAAAATTTCCTCATAGAAAAGACTGCCGAACAGTGAATTGGTTACTAAAGAAGATAATAATGATCTTCCCACAGCCTTCCATCTTTCCCTCTCCCTTCTTTGTCTTAAAAGAAGAATCTCAATTTCTTTTCTCTCAACCCTTTTCCTTCTTCCACTTCCGCTACTGCATGGAGCAAAAGCTCCTGGGACCTTCATGTTCAATCCAATTGACTTTTTTTTTTCTCTCTCTTCTTACCTTATTTGAACTTGGTCATACATTCTTTGAAACTTTTCCACTAACTTCTGTAACACCAGGTTGCCATGGTCTTCCTGGTCCCTTTTTGGTGTCTTCTCAGTAAACTTGGAAGAGGCTCCTTCTTCTATTTGCCTCTTAAATCTCCATGTGCCTCAGGGCTCCATCCTCTGACCTTATTTTCTCACTTCATCCCCTCTTGCTGAGTGACAACCCCATAGGATTACATACCCCTTCTACAAAACGACTCCTAGAAATATGACTTTCCAGTCCAAACTATTCAACTGAACACCAGACACATGTATTAAAATGCTGAGTGGCTACGCCGTAGGAACCGATTACTGAAGACAATCATATTTACCATAAGTCATGCCTAGTCTTATATTTGTTTTCATTAAGGAATGGTGCCACTCTTTACTCCCCCTGAAACCCAAGCCAGAAACCCAAGAATCATCCTAGACCCCTCTTTCTAGCTCATCTCTCAAACCCAATCAGCTACAAGTCCTACAGATTCTACTCCCTCTCTGCATCCATCTCTCTTCCACTTCCATCGCCATCACCTACCTTCAGGCCCTTCTTGCATTATACCTGCATTTCTGGTTTCCCTGGCTGTAGCTTGGCTTGTCTCTAATTCATTCTCCATTCCTTTCTCCTTTTGATTTAAAATGTCAGGCTGAGTGCCATCATTTTGTCTTGCGTTCTGAATGGTTTCAGAATAAAGTTGAAATACTTTATTAATATGTAAAATCCCTCATTCTTGTGTAGTCATTAGTGACTACTTCAATCATTCTGCATTCATGCTCATCAAACCATCTGAAGTCACCAAATACTTGTTATCCTACATCTCCACACTTTTGCAAGTTGCTCTTTAGCTTAGGATTTTTCCATGTAGGGAGGGTTATAATCTACGTCTCCTAAAAATCTTGCTTTTGGCATCACTGTTCCAAGAAGAATATCTGAACCTCCTGTTTTTGCTGGGTCTCATAATTGTCCCAGATTCCTCTACTCTGAATGTGACTGTTCATTTATTTCTCTCTCTCATCCACTAGATACTAGTCTGTACACTCCTTGAATGAAGGGACACATTCCGTTGACATATTTTTGGAACTTAGCACGGTACCTAGAACCCATCAATTCACCCATCTATTCATCATCTAGCCATCCACCAATCCGGGAATGGTCCCTATGATGGATAAAATGATGTGTCTAATTTGTTAATAATTGGTTTTCTATGTGAAATTTTGTGTATGTCACAGAAAGATAAAGAGATTTTAATGGTCCTTGATAATAGGGATAAATTGAAAGCCTTGCTTAGCACCTCACTTTCTGTGCTTCCCCCACTTAACACTAACTGCATTAGTATTAAGTAAGGATAGAAAGGAGAGGTTAAGAGTTTAAACGATTTTAAAAAAATTGTCCTTAGCATCTTTTCAGAAGGGATTGCATGAAGAGTTTGGGATTAATGGCTAGGGCATTGCCAAGGACACCTCAATTTTGGATGAGATAACAGCAGGGCAGGGGAAGAAGTGCAGGTTCTTCTCATCTTAAAAAAAATCCTGTCACTTGTTATATTCATGGTGGTAAAATCTTGCCTACACTCACAACCAGCACATATCAGGCTGGGAAGATACAACTGAAGGAGATTTAATGCTCAGCTTTTGTAAGAGTCAAGTATGAATGAAGTCTGAGAAAAAAAAAATCAGGAGGACAACCCAGTATTGGGCTAATGCAAGAACAAACCCCAAGGCGCCTGGGGACATGTTAATTTTAACAGTGCTAATCCATCCTACACTTCATCCAGAGTGAACCACCGAAGGTTCCCCAAACTCACCTTGATATCTCTTTTTACATAATTTTTTTTTCCTGGATGCCTACCTCTCTCCCTTGATCACCTGGAAAATACCTCCTGATCCTGCAAAACCTAAGCCACTCTTCTTCTTTAACTCCATCCTTTGTCCCACCACTTTACCTTGGGTTATAATTCAATTTTAACACTTAACATAGCATATCATAATTATCTACCTGCATGACTCTCCTTTATGAGACTGGAAGCACTTTAGGCTAAGATCTGCGTCTGCTTTATCTTTTTATCCTACTACAGGGCCTGACACACAGGAAGCACTCACCAAATGTTTGTCAAATGAGTAAAAGGAATGATCGATGCATCATCTAACCTAGATTTTGCAGAATGATAAAACCTGATAATTGCAGTATAGATTATATACTCTTACATTATTATTATTCTGGCTTTCCTTAGACTGGTTGCGAGCATGCTTTGGGCATAAAATGCTCCTGTTAAATTAGGCAACATTGATATAATACAGTAATAAACTTTTATACAGTACTTACAAACTGCAGGTACTATTCTAAGTACCCACCTATATTAAAGCATTTAATTTTCACAACAATCAGATGAGGTAGCTAATATTACTGTTCTTATTTTATAGAGAAAAATTAAGGCACAGAGAGGTTAAATAAATTATCCAAGGCCACATGGCTAGGAAGGTACAAAGCTGGCAATCAAACCCAGGCAGCCTGGTTCCAGATTCTATGCCCTTGACCACTATGCTATACTTTGTAAAGATTAAATTCTACTTTGTATCCCAAATTCATATTGAATAATTTCAAACTTCCTTGATATTTCATATGGTACTAGTGATTTTTTCAGTAAAAACTCTAAGTATTTAAAAAATAATTCCAGCTCTAATTGGATTTCATATTTTGTGTTTGATTTTCCATTCGTTTCCTAGGCCTTGCTTACTTTACTGTAGGACCTCAAGGTAAACCAAACAAAGGAACAAAAGGAAGGTACAAAAAAAATATGTCACTACTTTCAAAGTTCTTTCTTTTTCATTGTGCCATGGACTGTATTTCTCTTACATCATAGCCATATACTTGGCTAGATTAGCACATGTTTGATTTATGCAGAATGCCCCAACACCGCATAAATTAATAAGCCTTCAGAACATTGTCAACAGAAATCACATCCCTTTTTCTAAATGTATATTCTAGGAACAACTTTCCAGCCTGCAATTAGAAAACACTCGTGATTCTACCCAAGTGCCTGGCCCTTGTGTAAAAGAATACAAAGCCTATGTCAGTGAATCTAGAGCCAATAACGATTAACACCCTCTCGTATATCTGATTCTGTTTGTCTCTGTGGTTTTTTTCTTTTTTGGAAACAGCGGTTTTGAGATCTCATTCATCATGTCCTGAACATAGAAAATTCTACACATCTTTGAAATAACACTTTCACTGTGCTGACAAGAGTATTTAAAGAAAAGCAAATGAAGAAAGAAAACTGTGCTTTCCAGCCAGATAAATGGAAGAACTAGACTAGGGAGAAGTGCCTTTTGTCCACCTCTGGCAATACCAAGAAGTTGAGTGATTTATGACTATGGCCAACCTTGCCAAGGCGTGATTAAAAGAGACCCACTCAGAAGTACACTACAGGATAAATGGAATAACTTATTGAAGCAACAGCCATTTGGATACAATTTTGGATTCTAGAACAAGGAAATTACCAAGCTCTTTGAATTTCAACACATCTATATCGCAATACTTTACATAAACATATGAGATAATCATTCAATATGTTTCCCTTGGCATTTACTGTTTTTTTTTTTAAATCCCAATTTGTGGTGCCAGTAAGCTTTTAATGATTCAAGGATGTGAATGCAAAATAGTTACTTTTCATCAATTTTGTCCTATCATGAAATGTTATAATTTTCATGCTTTTTGAAGGAGCATATTCATCAAAAATGGGAATATCCTCATGAGCAGTAATTAATATGCTTTAAAATACTGTGTCATGAGATATGTTTATGCAAATATCTTCTTAAATATTTTGATGAACACATTCACTTAAGTGTTGGACCACTGCCTAGTTTAACTAATGAACACAAACTAATAGATTCCCTTTATCCTGATGTTAGAGAAGAGCTTAAGTCTCAATTATGTCTCATCCATTCATTTACTAAATAATTCATTATATAAACATGAATTGAGCTTTACTGAATAGGAGCACTGTTGTTCTAGGCTCTTGGATATAATATAAGCAAGACAAAGTACTGGCCCTCATGTGACTTACAATATAGAAGAAGAGACAAAATCAGCTAAACAAATAAATATATACTATGATAGGTAGGCAAGGGCCATGTCATGTAGGGCTTTCCTATTCAAAATGTGGTCCAAGGAACAGCAGCATCAGCATCCCTTGGGAGCTCACTGAAAGTGTACAACATCAGGCCCACCCCAGACATACGGAATAGAATCTGCATTTGAACAAGTTCTGTAGGTGATTCTTATGCATTTTGAAGTTGGAGAATGCCGATGTGGGACAGTCATTCTCAACTCTGAGTGTATATATTAAAATCATCTGGGGAGGATTTAAAGTTATGGATAGTTTGCCTCACCTCCAGAGATTCTGATTCAGTGGACTGGGGAGGGTCCCAAGTGGTGGAGTGTTTTACAGTCTGCCCAGGTGGTTCTGAGGTGTAGCTAGGTTTAGGACCACTGAAATAGGTTGTATCTGGGTACATAGGAAGATCCTAAGGACTGAAATCAGGAGAGCGACATGACCCGATTTATGTAGAGGAAGAATCCTTAACCTCACAGTGATGTCTGAGAGGCTTGAGCTGCTGATGCAAAGAGGGCGAGACACCATCTCTGTATCGGACAGAAGGAAAGCCTGCTCAGCAAGGTAGGGGTTGGGATATGGTGTAGCCATATCGAACAATGACGTCAAACCTAAGCTACTTTGCTAGTTGATAGGCAGTAAATAATTGATCTTCAGGGACGAAACCACAAGAACATCCCTATGAAAGCCAAGATCAAAGCCAGATACAGTCACTTTCACTTATTACATACCTGGGGACCTCTACTTCCCAGACCTCCGTTTTCTCCTTTCACACCAGCCTCTCCTCTCGGGCCCTAGGTACAGAAAATTAAAGCATTACTTTCTCCCTAAAAGAGAACACTTGAATATTAAAATGGAAAGGCTAAGTCAGTAACATGGACAGAAATTGGAAAGAGAACGCCACTCATGCCTTTCGTCTGTCTTGATCGGTTGAGTTCACCCTCTGTGTGGGGAGACAAGGCTCTGATCTGACATTTAGGTGGTCGGACATTTCCAGTCAAAGTGAAGAACTACTGAGCAGGTGAATTTCTCCATGTCACTTTCTAATTATTCTCAGCATCTTTATACTCTGAATGCATATACTTCTTATGTTAAAAAGAAAATTATCCTTAATTGTATGTCTGGAACTAGAATATTTAAATGGACTTTCTATTCAAGGACCACACTGACAACTGGTCATAAAGTTATGGCATATGGTATGATAAAATTTGGATATATCTACTTCTGGAATATTATATTGCCTATGAACTGTGGCTTCCATATGTTATGCAGAGAAACCTTCATGCTGTATTTGGTATTTGCATCTCCTTTTAAATTATTTTATGAAAAAAGTAACAGTCTATAAAATGGAAGAAGGAATATTGAAGTAGTATTGCTTTATTAGCATAAAATAAAGGCAACCAATATATTGAAATGCTTCCCCACAACCTCAGTGGCAAATATTTCTCATTTGAAGGTAAGAAAAGTAAACTTTCCTCAGCTGGTAAGTAAGACAAAGAGAAGCAATCAAGCTAAAAAGAGTCCAAGATGCAGATCGTCTACAGCTCTGAAATCTTGGTAAAATGTGAACAAAGTTTCTTTTCTGATGTCTAAGGGTATTTTACCCAATTTCCATGCACCAAGCTGCCAACATAAAATAGTTACATAAGTGTTTTCTTTTGTTTTGTTTTAACTATGTGGAGTAAAACTTTGAAAAATGGCAGAACCATTGCTGGTCCTGCATTTATCAAACAGCAAAATTATTTCTCAAGATTTCAAAACTAAAAGTTTGTTTTAACGTTCTGTAGTCTGACTTTCTTTCATCACAGCCTTTTCTAGGACTTCCTTTCTCTTCTTGTTATTATTTTAGGCTACACTTTGTCCTTTCTGGCACAGGCTTTCTTTCCCTTCACGTGATCTGCGTGAGAGTCAGTCATGCCTTGTTCCTTGTAAAGGAAAAAGTGCTAGAGGCATCTCCCAGGAGAAGTGAGCTAGAAAGCACAGGCTGAGTGCCACACTACAGATCACCCTGAAGACTTTAGCTGTATTTGGAACAATCATTTCCTAGAGTAGAGCCAATTTTTGTTTTTTTTTTACATTGCAGGCATCCAGATATGTAACACTGAGCACGTACTGTGCTAAATTGACCAAAATTCCCAGTTTTGAGGCTCAACATTTTTCTTGGCTCAAGGTCTCCCTAGAATAATCTAGCTAGCCTGAACCCATTGTACAAGGACCACTACCTAGCGTGTTCATTCTCTTTTTCACCTCTTGACGGAACAAAACTTAGATAAAGGAGAAGAAATGCTGGTCAACATTGTGTTGCTTCCTTACTTTATTACCTGAAAACACTTTAAACAACTATAATTCTGCAAGAGAGGGGTGGGTGGGGGGATTCTATCAAGGCTTCATATTCTTTAAGTTCTCACATTGTAATTAGTTCTAATATGTACCTGAGGTCCTTTAAGTCCCAGTGAGCCTTCAAGTCCATCTGGGCCTGGGAGGCCTGTTATCCCCTGTAGTGAGAAAGAATTGACCTGTTAACACTGTTTCCTGTGAATTTTGTCTCCTTTCTGTGCAAGATAATATTTTTTTCAATCACAATGGCAGTGCCGGCTCTTTACAAAAAAAAATATGAAAAATAAAGGAAAATAAAAAGGAAGTAAAAATCTTCCATGATCTCATCAAATAAAAATAACCACAACTAATAAATATGTTGGCGTATTTGCTGTCAGACTTTATATAATATGCACGTGCACACACAGACACACGCACACACACACACTCAATTCCTTCTTTTCCTGTAACACTTAGAATATGCTTCATCTTACTTGGGCATTTGGCCTGAAAAAGCTCACAATTTATTTCACAAATCTCCATGCATCTTACATATTTGTTTTCAAATAGATTATCTATCTAGGGATCAACAGCTGAGCAGTCTCTTTGCATTGCTTTTGAACTCTACTACAGATAAGGATTCTAAGAAGAGTAAGAAAGAATTAAGGTTTAATTTAAGCAACTACTAGGATAGCCCAAATTTATGTCTCAGTTGTTACTCAGCTGGATATGATTAAGTGACCCTCACTGATGCCTTTTCCTAGAAATCGGAAAGAATTTTTTGACACTTCCTTTAAGATCATTTTACTTATTTCATGCCATTTTTCTAGATTTCATGTTTTGTTGTTGCTGTTGTTGTTGAAGCCTAACCTTGAAGTGTGTATATATGGGGTAAAGTCTGTGGATGGTAAACTTGTAGTCTTCGTCTATCTGAAAATATCTATTTTATTCACTCAATAGCTACATGTGAAATTCTAGATTAACAGCTATTTTCTCTCTGCACCTTCAAGATATTAATTTGTTTTACAGAATGTATTCTTATTGAACAGAAGTATGCTGCAATCTAATTTGGTATTCCTTTCACGGGGAAAACTGTCTTTTCTTTCTGATCATGCTTAGGATGTTTTAACATTCTAGAGTTTCGCCGTAATGTGATTAAGAATGCATTTATTATTTATCCTCATTTTATTTTTAATCTGAGGATGTGTTTCCTCAATTTTGAAAAATTCTGGGTCACAACTGTTCTTTCATAAATATTGTAGGTTTATGAGCACGTATAATGTATCACCAATATGTACAAAGGGGACGATGTGAAATGTGGTAAAGTTTACTTTTGAACAAAACATTCAGAACATTCCATTTATATTAGGGTTTTACTGAACTATCTTGGTTTAAAAGGGGTTTATCTAAATTGTAAATAAGGTTTCAGAGTTAATTGAGCAAAAATCTAACGGGTCACCCACTGGGTCACTAGAGTTTGTATGTGATATCCAAACAAAGTTTGATTTAACAATAATTGGGCCAAGTAATGTCTCTTATTAATTTTTATGGCTTTGATTAAACTTCTCAAATTTTCATTTTAAGATTTGCATTCTTGAAATTGTAGCCTAAAAGTTTTTTAACATTTTATTTTACAACCAATATCATAAATGAATGAATGAATGAATGAATGAATGAATGAATAAAAGAGCTTTAGGCCTGGAAGAGAATTTCCGGAGTCTTTATTCCACTTCTTTTATTGGACACAGAATATTTATCACTTGGAGTTATGAAAAAAATCATTATACCTGTGGGCCTGTATGTCCCCTTTGGCCATGAGTTGCCTAAAATAAAAGAAAAAGGTATATATCATTAACTCCAGGGGGAAAAAAAGCTTTTTGTATTTAAATTATTAATGGTCACCTTAAGGCACTGACATTAAAAAAAAGTTCCCACATGTTGCTTAAAACATAATTATCCACTGTACCATGAAAGTAAATTGCTGCCAACTTTGAACTTCTATCCTAAAGCAATAGGCAATTAAAATCATAGACAACTGAAATTATAGAGACTTATGAGAACAGATTGTGGTCAATCATCTGTCCTCCATTAATTGTTAGTAGAGCTGTTCATACAAGCTCCAAAACTGACTGATTCAAATTTTATTTCTTTTCATTTTTCCACAGTACTATCACGTAAGCCAGAAATCAGGAGTAGAGTGGCCAGTAGGCAGGAAGCCAGAGGAAAAACTGAGAGAACTGACTTCACAGACTTTATTATAGATTAATTTCAGAAGCTAAAGATAGCCAAACTAATTTTACCCCACCCCAAGAAAAGCCAAATATCTGTCAAAAAATGAATTATCCTAAGCATTCAAAAGTTATTCAATTCAGTATGTTAATAAAATATTCAATCAAAACAATGGCACTACCAATGAAGTAGATTTTTCCTACAAGTTCCACATGTAAGATTAGAGTCTTGTTATATTCCAGATAAATATCTCAGAGATCTGGAAATCAAGAGACAAAGACATTTTATTGTCTAACTTAGGATCTCTCGGTAAGGTCATAGCAACACTGATATCCAGGATTTGCAAAATTCAACAAATGTCAGATAACATCTTCTTGATGAACATTTATTTCAGATATTCCAGTCAAAATTCTAGGAGAGGCCAGCATTGTAGGCTTTAAATTCTGCTAATCATATTTCAGTCAAAATTTATTATCATCTAGGAAACGGACTGCATCTGGGAAAATGGTTGGAGGCCTGTTTCTTTAAAATCCTAATGAAACATTTTGAGAGCCTAAATCCTCTCTATAAGAGAGGAAAAGAAACTCTTTTCTACTCCTTTAGCACAGGGTTTATCTATTCTGAATCAGTTCATTTCAGTTTCATTCAGAAAAATACCCATACAGCGCACAGGATGGGAGCCATAGGAGTATAAAGATCACACACACACACACACACACTCACATAGTCCTTGATTTCAAGGGTCCCTCACTCTTTGGGTTTGAGGAAAGGAGATACTACAAATATTTACAAGGTGGTAAATGCCACAGGAAAGGGGAAAGAGAAAAATATAGCTTTTGAAGAAAGCAATATTTTCTAGTTGGTCAAATAGGAAATTATTCCTGGAGGAAGAGATTTTAAAGAGGATGGGTAGGAGTTTTATAGAGAGAAGATGTAAGAAGTAGTCTTTCTAAGCAGAGCCTACGGCCTAAGTGAGGAAGGAAAACAGGAAGTGTATTTGACAGTAGCAAGAGAGGAAAACAGGAAGTGTATTTGACAGTAGCAAGTCTAGGTCAAAGGTATGAGAAGAGTAGTATGGTTAGTAGGCTGAAAATACCAGACTGAGGGGTTCATACTCCATTGAGTAGAAACCATTGGGATTCTTGGAGCAGGAAATGTACATGGTCAGTCCTGGGCTTTGGGTGAATACATCTGGTTGTGGTAGGAACAACAGAAAGGAACCTTATATTTAGGCAAAATGAAGAGCTTCCTGTGTGATAAAAGATATGAAACAGGCCTTCACATCCAAAAATCTTTCTCTGGTTCACTGTCATAGTGTTTGAAACATCATCAATAAACATTTCTTCTCTCTTTAAGGTTTGACTTTGAAAGAATTTGACTGAAATGTTATCTTAACACATATTTATTGAGCTCCTGCTCCCCACGAGATACTTGTCTACCTTGTAGTGGGAAAAACCTGACTGCTGTCCCTAGGAAGACATTTATAAGGCTAATAGAGGAGACAGATCATAACCTACCATTCACACAAACAATGGAAACGTCTCCAGAAGTAGTCGCCTAGCAACTTCAATAACAGATTTTAGGGTTTAAACTCCCAATGAAAGTCATGAGTTTAGATACCTCGGGTACGTGTGAGAGAAAGAAAGGAAACGAGGAAATAGGGGAGACGATTTTTACAATTTTGCCTCAAATTTTCAAATATTTTAGATGGGGAAGATTAAATTCCTAAATGTCTTAATTGTTTTCTCAAAGGCTTACTTATCTGTGAAGGATGTAAATAGGCACAGCAAGAAAGAAAATCTTCCCAAAGAAGACCTGAAAGTAAGAACTCAGAAGAGAACTCAGTCCCTCGGTCCCCCATAACCTGGCTTTCTAGTTTAACAGGACCCACTTTCCTAGATAGGTATGAACTGATTTGGGACACAGAATCCCCAGGTAAAAAAAAAAAAGGAGGACATTCTTAATGGTAAAACATCCCATTAATACTGAATCTTAACAGCAAACTCACAATGATAAATGACTGCCCTCAGCACTCAATGCTGCCTCTAAAGCAGTGCCAAGAGAGATAAAAAAGGGCAAAGCATAACTAACAACCCTCTGGATTTAATAAAATTTAAGATCATGCTTTGGTTTGAGGCTACAATTGCTTCTCATTACCCGTGCACAAGAATCTATTCTAATTCTTCAAAAAGTTTGGCCCAAAAGAGCTAACTTCCCATTCCCATCCCCACGCCACCCCCAGCTCTGCGGCTTCCTCGCTCTGCTCCTTCTTCCTTCTCACCACTCAGTCAATCCATTACAGACTCTGGGCATAGCGCTCATTATCCCTACAGGTCTGTCCCCCTCTACAACAGGGGTTCTTAGCTGCAAGAGGGGGGTTTAGCACCTCCTCCCTTCCCTAGGAACATTTGGCAATGTCTGGAGACATTTTTTGTTACAAGTCAGGGGTGTTGCTGGCACTTAGTGGGTGGGTAGAGACCAAGGATGACACTAAACATCCTACACTGCACAAAACAGCTTCCTACGGCATAGAGTTATTCAGGCCAAATGTAATAGGAGGTTGAGACACCATGCTCTATAACGTGATTCTCAGTTCCTTGAGAGCAAAGGTTATGTCTTGAGTTTGTTGTAGCTCTAGTAGTAGAGTCGCTGGTACATTGTAGGTTTTCAATAAATGTTTGCCAAATGAATGAAGGTCAGATTTGGTCAACTGCTCATATTTCCCTGCATGCTATACCCTACTACTGGCCATCCACTAATCACTTATCACTTTAGCAGAATCTTGTTGCACTGAGGAGTCTTCAATGCTCATCAACTACCTACATTTTGGAGTCAGAGGTATAGATTTTCTTCTTTCTAAAAGCATAATAACTTTATCTGTATAAAAATGATACAGGTTGATTTTTAAATACTTGGATGCAGAAAATACACAGAATAAAAATTTTAAAGTCATCCCACATCCTCTATCTAAAAATAACTATCATTAACATTTGGTAATCATGATTCTTGACATCTTTTTATGCATATTTACAGAAGGAGCTTTAAACAGTGGTACCGTTGATTTTAAAGAGATCATGTTATTTGTGCTATTTTAAAATTAAAATATTACATCTAATTTTACTTGAATAGAAGGAAAAATAAAACTGAAAGAACTGGAAATGTCAGTTGGTAACATTTCTTGACAAAAAGAGATCTACATCCTAAAAGAAGAATTATCATGAAAAAAATTAGGTTAGAATATATTTGTAATACATATTTTAGCTTAAGATGATGTCTAGACATTGACTCTACAACGAAAGATGAGGACATAGTCCGTGGCACTTTCCCCACACCTTTTCCAACTTTCCTTTATCTCATATGATTTTTAGATCCTCCAATGTATAACATATACATTTTTTCTATAAGTACAATTTCTATAGTTTAGTCTTATTTCTATACTTAAATGAATTCAAATTTATTATCATAAATTTTTAAAGAAAGGATCACAGGGCTATATTGTCTGAGTTTTTGAAGGCTTGATCATGTTGATTACTTATATCCTTAAAGGACAACTTGGGCGGGTATCATCTTGGACCACCCTACTTTCCTCAGAACTTTCTAGCCATTCTACTGCTCCCTTTTGTCCCTGAATGTTATGAAGAAAGCTGAAGACAGAGTGAGTTGTCTATCTTTTCTGCTTAGAAATTCTCATGATTCTTTCTTTATATAATAAGTTTGGTAGCTTCACTAGGTTATGGCTCAGTATTGATATATTTGTACCAATTTTTTCTAAGTCAGAGTATGATTTTTCTATTTGTATATTTGAGCTTTTGCTTCAAAGTTATTTTATTACATTTCTGAATTTTTTTTTACATTACATTTGGTTTATTTTAATAATGCAAATTGTACATTTGTTGGCTCTCCATTGTCAATATTATTGTCTATCTCGATTATTGCTTTTGTGGCTTGATACAATATGTATGACCAAATTTTTCAGTCATACTTATTCTAATTTTTTTATTGTTTCTAATATATATTATATTCTATACTTTTTTCCTATTCCCATTGCTCTCCAAGCACTACCAACTTGCCTTCTTCACTTTCTATTGTCTTGTCAATTCTTTATACTTTTTATAGCAATCATGTTGTCTTAATTTTTTTGAGACTTCAGAGAACTATTTGCCGGAGTTGTTTTACCTTTTCCTTAAGCAGCTCCTCTTCCAGTGAGGGTTTATCTGCCCTGTGCTCAGGTAGTTTTCCTCTTTTCTTGAATTTTCTATCCATAAGTCTTGATTAGTAATTATCTGATTAATAATGACAATTATTAATCCCCTTTAATAGGGTCATCTATTTACTGAATAACTGAAATGGGATGTAGCTGCACTTGGGGCAGTAGCTCTGATATAGATACGTTGTCTCAAACATTTTCTCATCATGAATTATTTATTTTACTTATGGTTACTTCTCCCTTCAAATTCTGGCATTTAAGAGACTTGTGGAACTCACCCAAAGTCCCTCAAATCATAATTTCTCTGTGTTGTAATAGTCACTGCTAGTTCATCTGTCTTTGTAGCCTCCATGGCCTAGACTGCTAAGTTGGAGATATTAAAAATGAAATATTCTTCAGTTTCTCATTATTTCTGCTTCCTCTGCTAAACTGTATTTCTATTGGTGTATTCTCTGATCATCTCAAAATCTAGTGCCCCTGGGATTTGTTCCCCAGTGTTTTTTAGGACTATGGTAGCTACTTTTCGAAAAATCTGATCCCTAGCTTGAGATCTGAGGTGGCATGTATCAGCTCTCCAAAGCCTCCCTCATTAGGATCCAGATTTTAAAATATTTGGCAAATATTTGTCAAGTGAAGCTTTAAGTAGTGGTCTTTCTTTGTAAATCTATTTTAAATTTCTTTCGTTGTTTCTGGTGAGTTGCACAAAAGGGGAATGGTATAAAAACCACCTTGGCTTTGCAGTCTTTAGCTGGAAGTCCTACTTTTACTCCTGAATGACACTACTGAATCTATAGCCCAAGATGGGGCCATATATCTCAGGAGTTATGTGGTTTAAATAATACATGGTGTTGCTGTATTGGTCTCTAGAGAGACCGTAGCCTCTATAAAATAATTAAAGTATATCTCCCATGCCAGGATTTCTTGGATGACATTCTTTAAGTTCAAAATATTTTCCCAGGGTATGTAAGCCGGCTACACCCTTTTAGAAGGTGAAATGAATAGCAAATGTTATTTATCTTTAGATGCATTAAAAACAGCAGTAGTAAAGCACTTTCCCAGAAATTAAATTCTGCACAGCTTAAACATAATCTGTTTTTTATTTTTCATTTTCTTTTCCTTGCAAAGGAGTGTGTTCCAAGATACAAAAATATTTTCTGGATGGAGTATAACAGCTGGTTCTATGAACTTCTGCTTGGAAAATACAATGCATAATAAATGCAATATATTAAACTAGTTTTTATCTGTGCTCAATTTTAAAACATTATATACTTTGGGGGTGGGGAGATAGAGAAAGTTAGAGAAGGTTGGATAACTAAATAATGGAAAGAAAATGTTGCACAATGAGAAGAGGCAGGTCTAAGTTAGAACCCAATGCAGTCGTTTAAGTATATTTTATTAAAGTTATCTCTTCTTATAAGATTTTTCTTTTATGATCTCTGTGCTCTTCCAAGAAGTCAAGAACAGATTTTTTTTTAAAAAGTACTCATTGAAAAATTAACAAAACAAAAAAGATACCAAAACATACCATAAGCAAGTGATCTAATTTCACTCTCGGATATATGTATATTTTTATGCCTTAACATAGAACTACTATATGATCCAGCAATTCCACTTTTGGGTATTTATCTGAAGAAAACAAAAACACTAACTGAAACAAATATATGCACTGCCATGTTTATTGCAGCAACAGCCAAGACATGGAAGCAACCCAAGTGTGTACTGATGGATGGATTAAAAAATGTGGTATGTATACACAATAGAATATTAATCAGCCATAAAAAGGTAAATCTCGCCCTTTGCAACAACATAGATGGAACTTGAGGGCATTATGCTAAGTGAAATTAGGCAGAGAAAGGCAATTCCCATATGATCTCACTTATATGTAGAATCTTGAAGGGAAAAAAAAAAAGAAGAACTCATAGGTACCGAAAACAGATTTGCCAGAGGTGGGAGGTAGAGGGTAGGTAAAATGGGTAAGGGGAATCAAAAGGTACAAACTTCCAGTTATAACACAAATAAGTCATGGGATGTAATGTACAGCGTGGTGATTACAGTTAATAATACTGTATTGTATATTTGAAAGTTGCTAAGAGAGTAAATCTTGAAAGTTTTGATCACAAGAAAAAAATTTGTAACTATGTATGGTGATGGATGTTAACTAGACTTATTGTGGTGATCATTTTGCAACACATACACATATCCAATCATTACGCTGAACACCTAGAATTAATATATTATATGTCAATTATATTTCAATAAAATTTAAGTTTTTAAATTGACTACAAATAAAAACTAGTTTAATATATTGTATTTGTTATGCACTGTATTTGTTGAGCAGAAATTCATAGAACCAGCTATTATGCTCCATCAAAAAAAGATTTTTGTTTCTTAGAATACCCTCCTCTCTTTTGCAGGGCAGAAAAAATATGAAAGAAAAAAATGGAGAAAGAACTTATACCAGGACTCACTTTTCTAAGTACACAGTCACAGAATTTGGTAGAGGAATGGAATTTGGGCTTAAAATGACATCACTGGCGACCTCAGCCTAGTGAGTAGGATGGACTCTGACTACTCTTCCCTTAGTTGGCTTTTTTGTTCTCTTTGCCCAGCTCTTTTTCCTACTTGATAATTTCCCCTGCAGCCAGCACCTTTCAGCCTCAGCTTCATTTCAGGGGTTTTCCCAAGTCTTCTGCCAGCTCTGTTCTCACAGACATCCCAGGTCAGTTTCCCCAAAGTACTAAGCCCCAGCAGAACCATCCCACTCACTCCCCACAATCTGTCATTTCCATCACAATATAGGCTACCGGAGCAGTGGGTCTCCTTGTCTAGAAGAGCTTACTGTCATTCTTCTGGAGCCTGGTGTTCCAGGGGGACCTGGCGAGCCTCTTCTACCCTGTCAAATGAACAAACAGATGTGACAGTGATTACACAACATTGACACACTTCCCCAACATCAGCTTGTTTGTTCCAGGGAAGATGGATGAGTACACAGCAGCTAGAGAGTTATTCTTCCTTTGAATTCAGCATTACTTCCACTAGCCATAAATCACACATCTATGTGGGTAATAAGGAACTACAGGATAAAACGCTAATGATATGTTCATCTCCACTGTCTATCTTATGTCTAGGGTTGAAGTTAGAGTATTTAAATCAAACTATGCCCACTGTGTTGCCACAGAGTGGATAATTGAAGTATGCTACATGTCCAGCATAGCTACGACTGGTTTGGATTCCTATCTTTGGACTTCTTGCTTTCTTTGGCTAGCCTGTATAGATTAACACCCTAATGTAAATAAAATCTCACAATACCCACAAGTCTTCTCAGGATAAAAAAGGAGGGAATAATTATGAGTTTGTAATGAGACTTACATTTACAACTTAATAAAAGGGTAAGGAAAATTTCCTGAAGGTTTATGATGTGGCAGGGTCAGTCACTGAATTCCCATCATAGCCTTAAAAAATAGGCTATTTGTCCTATTTTGCAGATGAGAGAATCAAGGTTTACAGAAACTACCCCAAGGCCCCTGAGATGGTAAGGGACAAAGCATGAAACAGGACCTAGGTCTGTTCCCAGAGCAAGGTTCTTTCCACCAAATCAGACCTCTTCCCCAGGTGGAGTCACCAAGGGAATCTCTTCATCAAGAAAATCCAGAGATATACATTTTCCAGATAATACATTTTTTTAAATTCTGAAAAACAAGATTATCATATTCTGACTTGTGGAATTTCATGAGCTTAATCTCAGGAGACTTGCCTTGTGAGTGTGGGCTGTATAGATCTACCAGATCTTGTTTTTTTTTTTTTCCCATGTACTATAAATAATGTCTTTTCAGGGTACGTGTTCTCTGGATCCTGGGAAGGCCAATAGCTCTTTTGATAGTTCTATCAGTATATGGCTTTTCCTAAAAATAATTTTTTTGTATGGAATCCACTCTGATTCCAAATTCTTTATAGGTACTTCATATATGTACTTCACATCATTACAAGTTTATTTTCAAATGCCCAACTTCCAAACGCCCCCATAATTACTTGTCTTCCGCCTTCTCCTTTCAAACCCTTGGGTCCTTCTATGCTATTGTCAAATCCAGGAACTCCCTAAAAAATAGAAAATAAAAATTAATAGGTTTTGAACATTTCTCCTTAAAAATGTGACTTGTGTATAACACATTTAGTCACCCCTCCAAAAAAGTTGATAAGTCCAACCAACTGAAAGCAGAAATAGGTTAAGATTATAAATGGCTTACAAGAGTTTCCTTTTTCTCCTGTGCTTTGCAGAAGGGAGTGGAGACTCAAGGTGTGTGTGTGGGGGGAAATCTAGAGCTCACCATAGAAGGCATAACCAAGGAAAGTAAGGGTGACATGACTTGTGTTTATGACAACTCTGATCCTGGTCTGGAGGTACCCCTTCTGGCTACTGTCATCCTTTCTCTTAATCTTTTCTTTCTCAGGGCCTAGGCAACTTTATACTTGAAGGTTGGTAGATTTTGCTTTCCCATACCCTTTGGAAAAGGCAAATGTTGTAATGGGTTCTATCACAAGAACATAAGTACACTGAGCAGTGCTGAGGACTGCATCTGCTGCCCACTCCCATTTTTTCTCTCTTGGACGCCTGATTGCCTTCTTCCCCCATATGCTTACTCCTACTTTTCTGGTTTCCAGAAAATTCTAGAATCTTGCGTTTTTCTCAATATTCATACAAATGTTCCAGCAGGAACTCATTGAAAACAGGCACACATTGTGGGATACTATCCTCTGCAAGCCAAACTGAAAACTTTCAATCTTAGATAGTTAGGACCACAAACAGAGCAGTGTCGCCATGATGCTGGAACAATCAATAGAGCCAGTCTATTCAGTCAATGCTCCAATAAATTGAGTGGGGACAGCAATTATCCAGTCCTGCTGAGTGCCAGCTGCCAGGCTGTTTGGCTGACAGCAGCCCAGATTGCCTTCTTCAATCAATAACTCATTTGTGATCACCAACAGGGACATGTCGTTGTTCCAGGCACTCGGTAAGCTTTTAAACAAGTAGTTTCTACACTTACAAAGCTTATAGGCTAATAGGGTGAAAATAATGAGCTTAGAATTAATTTATAACTGATATTATTAAAACTTACGGGAAAAATTCTCTCTCACACATACCAAAGTCAAAGATTATTTTCTACATTTTCTGCTTTCCTCTAAAGTTTAAATATTTGTCTGTTATGTCCTCCAAGCAGGGTATACATAAATTACATTATTAGAGAATTACATTTTGGTGAGAAAGGCGTGTAAGGAAAAGAAGGTAATGTAAAGTCCAAAATTTTCTCCCACTGGATGTATAAACTTCTTATTGTGGTACAACTCTGAACTATTTGATTAAAGAGATGACATAAAAAAAAATCATATCCCAGCACATTCTACAAAATAGAACATCCCAATTTGCATCTGTTCAGTCTATGGTCTGGTCCAGTCTTTCAATTTCTATGCAACTACACAAAAAAAAAATCACTTAACACAAATTTGTAATTAAATATGAGCTCCTAATGATCCAGCAGGAACTCATTGAAAAGTTCGAAGATATTTCAGTCATCTATATATGATGGCCAACTTAAAGTTCAAGAACAGCTAAAACTAATTTATGGTCCTAGGATAGTAATCACCTTAGCGAGGACGGGTGGTGACTGGAGTAGACATGAGGGGAGTTCTGAGTGCTCTGTTGTCTAATGTTCTATCTCTGGATTGTGAGTGCACAGGTGTATTTACAGTCATCAAACTGTACATTTATAATTTGTGTATTTTTCTAATGTATGTTACAGTTCAAAAATAAGTTCTAGTCAAACAAAATGAAAACAGACTCATAGATACAGAGAACAAACTGGTAATTGCCAGATGGAAAGGGATTGTGGGTTGGGTGAAAAAGGTGAAGATATTAAGAAGTACAAATTGGTAGTTAGAAAACAGTCACGGGATGTGAAGCACAGCACAGGGAATATAGTCAACAATATCATAATAACTATGTATGGTGCCAAGTGGGTATAGAATAATTGGGGAATCACTTTGTAAATTATATAAATGTCTGACCCCTATGCTGTACACCTGAAACTAATATAAAATAATATTGAATGTCAATTGTAATTGGAAGCTAAAAAATTATAAATTAAAAAATTAAGTTCTGGGGATCTAAAGTATAGCATTGTAATGATAGACAACAATGCTATATAATATGCTTCAAAGCTGCTAAGAGCTAGATCTTAAATGTTCTCACCACAAAAATGATAACTATGTGCCATGATAGAGGAGTTAGCTAACACTCTGGTGGTAATCATATTGCAATGCCTACGTGTATGAAATCAATGCCTTGTACACTTTAAATTTATACTATGTTATATATCAATTACATCTCAATAAAAAGTTTAATAAACATTTAAAAACAAACCTAAATCCTAATTCACTAAGATTCTAGAATTTCCTAATGTGTAGGCATGGTGATAAAAGCCTTAACTAATGTTCCATTGGACTTGGTGTATCCCTTATGTCAGTATGGGTCATACCTTTTTTTGGCATAGGTGATGCCTACTAACTGATTGTATCCCTGTGAGAGCAGGCACATAGGTTTTGTGTCATTGGTTTTGCCTACTATAATCTTAGTCAGCTTAGAGCCAAGGAAATGAAGCTAATATTCTCAACTGAGAAAGAATCTTGGAGAACAGAAAAGAAAAGATGGCTTGGTTTCCTCTATTCTGTTCATGGTACTCAGAGAAAGACAAGGAAGTAGACTGGAATTCTTTCACAGCTCTGTAGCACAAGGACAATTCCGAATCTGTATTCTCAACAAAAACACATGCAAATGATGTGCAAGGGCTTCTCACTGTCCATACTCACACTGTGTGTGATGAAGCTCTAACATAAGGGATCTGCTTTTAAAATTCTACAATTGTGCCTGCGATGATTTAAACTCAGGCTTGCTGTTGTAGTACCGTAAAGTAAGGATGACAAATCCTGATGTTAGTTCACAGCCCGCACAGCCCCGGTACTTACAGGATCTCCTCGCAGGCCCTTTGCTCCACGGTCACCAGAAATCCCTCTCTTTCCTGGGCTTCCCTAAAGTTAATAAAAATCAGAAGAAGGACAAGACAAGAATAGTCATTAATAGAAACGAAGAGCTTATCTTCCCCCTGATTTGAATAACTATTTTTCTCTAAAATTATTTTTAAACTGGAAAGAGGAACAACCAAAAAATAGTTTCAGGCATCATATGAATAATTTAAGAGTGACCTCAATTATTTGCCACAGTGGTGAATCCTGTGTTCCAGACACATTTATCATCTTATTTACTTTTTTTTTTTTTTACAACTACTTTATAAACCAGGTATTGTTTATTATCTTTCTTTTAGTGAGGCAGCTGAGAGTCAGAGAGATTATCCATTTTCCCCAAGGTGGTTGCATCAGCTAAAAAGTGGATTTCTGACTCAACTGTTCACACCCTAAAGACAGATAAAGTAGATGATGGAAGTATGGCTGCTGTTGGTATTTGCTCTAGATGGGAATGAGTGGCACATAGTTCCACTGTGCTGCTGTGTACCACAGACTCTTAATACCTTGTGGCTGTTCTTAGTTGGTAGCTGTTTTTCATTAATGACCCCAGTTCTTCACTCCTATCTGTGTCTAACTCTGCAATGCCTTCCAACTGTGGCGGGGCAAGATTCCCTATCCTTGAGTTTGGCCATGACCTGACTTGGCCAACAGAAAAAAATAGAAATGTCACTGTGAGAATTCCAAGCCTGGGCTCCAACAGGCCTTGAGAGACCTTATGCGTTTCTACTTCCTCTCGCGTGCTTCTGTCATGAAAGGTCATGGCCAGGCAGCTCTCTCGTCCCAGGAGGAGAAAAAGAGACATGTAGAACAAAGCACCCATTTGACTTATAGATACATGAGCCAAGGTTAGTCATGCTCAGCCTAGATCAGCTGAACCTCTCAGACACATAAGAAATAAAAGTTTATGAGATTGAGGTTTTGCAATTGTCACAAAGCAATTTTGAGGCACTAGCTGACTGATACACCTAGGACAGCTCTTCTACTCTATTAATCACATCTTTAACTCTGAGTACAGTTTTCATGTTGTCCCTTTATTGAATCCCTACCTGAGATCCTTCATCACCCTTTTCTCCTTTTCTTCCAGGAAGACCACTGTCACCCTAAAAAACAAAAGAATAAACTCAAATTTCCATTTTCTTAATGAGAAAATGCTCATAAGGGTCTTAAGTCACCAAGAGAAGGCTCTACCTGTATTCCATTTAATCCGTCAATTCCACTTTCCCCAACTTCTCCCTAAAAGACAAATGTGATCAGAATAGAGTGCCTTACATTTATGTGGAGAGAAGATAGACACCAAACAAAAAGTTTAATTTTATGTTCCACATATAGCCTCTTTGTTAGGCTTGCCCTAGGTAATATCAAAGATTACTGAGTAATACAAACTTTCAACAAATAATATATATTGCCTGCAATAAAAGACTGGAATAAACAAAATGAAATTATCGACAATAAAAAAGGTCAACAGAAACTTCATTTGTACAATCTACAATAATCTAAAAAATAAAAATATCTCTAGATAGTAGATAGGGAGATAAATGAACGTATTTAGTACCATACCTCCTGTCCATTTAGTCCCCTGTTTCCCTGAAAATAGAAATAACAGTAGTGGTTAGTGTAAGAAAATGGAATCAATGCTAGGAAGATTTCACAGTGTCTTATGCAACACTTACCTTAGGACCTTTGGTGCCATAGCATCCCCTAATACCTTCCTCTCCCACTGGTCCAGTATTTCCTCTTTCTCCCTGAGAAAGAACACATATCCTGATGAGCATTTTTCTGTTGGAACCTGGAGTCTGTCTTGGAAATTTGACAAGTGTTATGTTGGGAAAAAAATATGTGCCTTCTCATGGTTTACAATCCAGAATTCATGCTTTAAAGAAATTAAAAATGGAAGTAAACCAGAGCTACTCTGTTGACAACTTTGCTTCAGATCTCACCTGGACGCTGCCATGGGTAGGGTAGTATCTAAATAAAACAGATATACAAATAACTGGCAGCTGAGATATATTCTCAATATTTTAGGAGATATTTCAGGAACAGATAACGAGAAATTGGTGAGACATCAGAGAAGGATGCTCCAGGTATAATCTATGCAAGAGGCATAATTTCTAGACCCAAATCCATCTTCCTTCTCTCTTTCTTTAAACAAATAACTGCTCCTTCAGTCCTTGTTTTGGTAACCCCAGCAGTCTGTATATCTTGTGAGCTGGAAACAAAGATGTCATCCTCAGCTTCTTTCTCCATAAGTAGTCACCAAGTTATGTCCATTCAACCTCCATTCATATTGTGCCAAACTAAGATTAGGATCTCTTTGTCTTGTACCTACTACTTCAAGGCTTCCAAGTCTAATGCCTGCCTTAATGGTATCCATAATATTGCCTGGGCATGCTTTCTAAACCCATAGCCCATCATTTTTACTCTTATGTGTAACATCATTCAATGACTGCTCATCAACTGGAAGACACCATCCAAATCTTCCAGAGATAGGTATTCAAGGCTCCCAATAATTTGAGTCTTGCTTGCCAAATAACCTCCTCTCATTGTATCCTAGGTTTCAGCCATGTTGACCATGTGCCATTCTGCAAACACACAATTCTCTGACTCAGTTACATGCCCTTGAACACACTGTTCTCTCTGTAGTAGAATGTTCTTCCCTACAAATTTTGCCTGGTGAAATTGTTCTTTGTCCTTCAGATGTCTGCCCCCAAATTACCCCTTATTTGTAGCCTTCCTCTTCCAAGTCCTAAGTGCCACCAAGGCTGTTACTTGAGGTTGTTAGGTATTTGTTCTGCTATACTCTGTCACACTGCATCTCATTATACCTCTAGTATACTCCTTGTGTATAACAGCTGCAACCACTGTTGTCTTGTTTCTTTTCCACTGGTTTGGAAGTTACCTGAGATGGGAATCTTTCTTGTTTGTTTGCTTGTTTGTTTGTTTTTATTTCTAGGGCTTAGCAATGTGCCTGGTACATGGTAAGATGCTTTAATATTTGTCAAATGAATATATGAATGGATGAGTACAGTCGTGAGTGAGGTCTTTGATAAATAATGTGACAAATGGTAAGATGCCTATATAATTGTTAAATGAATGGATACATTGACGGATGGCTGAATGGAAGGAAGGAGGGAAGGAAGGAAGGGAGGGAGGTACGGAGGGAGGGACAGAAGGAAATAAGGAAGGAAGGAAGGAAGGAAGGAAGGAAGGAAGGAAGGAAGGAAGGAAGGAAGGAAGGAAAGGTGAGTTTCTTGATAAGTAATGTGGTGGTTTGGTTTACCTATGCAAAGTGGATCAGGAAGGGGGAAATGACAGTGGTGTGACTCCTCTGGGGAAGATGACAACTTTGGCATTGAGTTCACTGTGCAATGTTGGTGGATGGCAAATGAGGAGACAGTAGGTTAAGAGACTGCTAATGATTACTAGAAGCGAAGTCTGATGAGGATTAGGAAAGAATTCTGATTTTGCACACAAACCATTAGAATCTAACATTTCTTGTGTCTCTCTGAACTGACACAAATGATTTCATATTGTAGATATGTTCTTAGGAATAAGTGAAGCTGAAAAAACCCTTGACTTACAGCAGTGCCTTCCTCTCCCAGGTAGCCTTCACTGCCTTTAAAACCTGGGAGTCCCTGGAAATAAGGAAAGGAAGAGTAGTACATTAGCACTCTATAGACCAAAAACCAGAGGTTAACCAAGCCAAATTCTTCAGCTTTACAGTTTTATTTAGAAAAGTAAGAGTTTGAAAAATTTAGTACTCTGCCACAACCTAGGCTGCATTTATACGCATAAAAATAAATGGAATTTCGAGACGATAACTCAAGGGTGTGTGGGCGTGTGAATCCTAATACTGTCCATAACTCTCTCTGGGGTCATATATAGTGCTGGAGTTTTTGTCCAGACAAATGTTCAAATGACACAGCTACATTTGCCCCTGGCAAGCTAGAATTATCTTCTTTTTATTTTAAAAAATCTTTTTTTAAGATTTATGCTACACATAGAAAAACAGACCACCTACATGTTCTTCCATTCTTTCTGGGCTCTGTTTTTTAAAAATTCTATCACTCTTTTTACATGAAATTGAAGCATTCAGGAAATAATTAGTCCAAAAGCTTTCTTTATAGACACAGCCATAGTAGTTTTGGAGTTATAGTGCTATCTATAAATTATTCAAAACTCAAACACACATGTAAACAAGCAGTATTGAAAACATTGTTAAACATATTCATAGTATGTTTGTACATGTTTAAACATTTCCTAAAACCCCAAATCATATTTTTACATAAAGGTACACAAACTCTTTTTTGTTAGGAAATATCTGAATTTACTGTTGGTTACTGTTTTCCTAATTGGCCTATTTTTGCCTATACATCTGTGATAACATTTTGACTGGATAAAGCTGAATGAAACATCTTAACATCTTTTGCTATGATAGGGTGATCTGATCTAGCTTGATTTTCAGCAGACTGCACAAAATATTCTCTACTTGATTTAAATGACTGCAGTTATTAAAAATGGAAATTGAAATGACATCGGTATTCGGAAGGTTTTCATTATTCAACATGAGAGATGACAATTGACTTTCCTGCATCACTGTCATCACTGCTAGAATATTGGAAAATCAAGGATCTTGGCAGTTGTTTCTCCTGAGATTTGTATAAAAAGTTTTTAGAAGGACTCCAATTTTGAATGTCAAGGAAAAGCCCTGACTATCTAATTTGGCATATAAAAAGAGAAGTGTAATAAGTGTTTACCCAGAGGCTTCTACCTGCCACTTAAAATCACCCCTTATTTCTACCTAAACTCATGTCTGACAGACATACTACATTCAAATAAAGTGAGCCATAAATCTTAAAATCACCCTTTTCCCTGGTGGTCCTGGCTCTCCCATTGTGCCATCCTCTCCAATGCACTTGCAGAATAAACAGCAGCAAGTCCTTTCAGCAACATTGACCTTGGGGAAGGGTAGGAAATACATTATATTTTGTCGCATTGCTTTCCAATCACACATACAAGCTTACTAGTGTGATTCAGACTTCTATCGATTTCAGAAGCCTGTTTACCATTAAAGTGACTGTTCCCTAGAAAGAATGCATGAGACATTCTTCAGCTACCATCTTTCTCTGTGATCTGCATTCTCTAGCACATGAGGAATTCAGAATCAATGCAAAGATTTTTTGTGTTCTCAAAATGGTATTAGTTTACCCATGGCCAATTCACTGCATACCTATTTATTATTGTGGTTTTCTGTACCCACTCCATCCCAGTAATGACCATGGCATTTATTACTCTATACAATTCCGCCCTCAATATTTTGTTCAATAAAATGAACGCATGCTATTTTCTCCATTTCCTATCTTGTGAAATCTTTGTGCGCTAGAAGATTTAGATAGTGCCCAATGTCACACTGCTTCAAACTGAATCCAATGATAAATGCTTCCAAAACAGTGTGTGTGACAGGATTTCAAAAACATGAATTGCATGTTCAACATTTCAGAAGCATTTGCTATAGAGGGTGGGGCATGAGAAAATTCTTCTTTATACTCTGGCCAAAAAAAAATCATATTCTGTATTTAAAAATGTGAATTTCATCTTGGACCTAGTTAGTCATCTCCTGAATAACTGATATATTCCATTACATTTTTACAATTAACCCACAAGATTTATTTTTTAGGAAAATTCTGTTTAGAGTAAATACCATGTTTTGCCTTAATTGGGGAGAATCAATTTTTGTGTTGAGTAGTTTCCCATCAAAATTCCAGTGTGAAGAAAACCATTATAACCATTTAGCAATTTCCCTTCTTTGTCTCTTATTATATAATGTTCCTTTTCTGACATTAGAAAATTCTTTTTTTCCTGAAAATCTCAGAAATACCAATAATATTTGAAACATATGAAACCAAATAATAACAAAATGGATTTTCTGATTTCATATTTGATATCAATTTTATTCAGATCACCAAAATCCTACATCAAATCTTTTACTATTAACATTAAAATTCATCTATGTCTAAAATTAAGTTTTTCTTGTACGGTATTGCATTTATGTAATATCTAAAAACTGACAGGCTTATTTTGAGTAATATCTTCCTCTCTCTATGAATTTCCAATGCAGATTTCAAATAATAGACAGAAAAAATACATGACACCGTCTTCCCTTGTAGAAAGAAATTCCAATAAAATTCCCATTTTTTTACATAATTACTCTTCTGAACAAACTGTGTTTTAACATTATTTATGAATAAATTCTATAGTGCACAATAGCAGAAGCTAACCCTTTACTGGAAAGTGTCCCGATATGGTGTTTATAGATTTTATAAATTATAAGCAAATTTCAAATTATTAGCCATTTATTAAAGTACTACCACATATCTCAATAACACTTCACCACTCTAGTTTAAATTCTTGTGTGTTTCTGAGAGAAATATGATTGAGATGCATCTCATGTACGCATTAGGCTCTAAAAATAGATCATAAGGCAAAAATCTCGGTAGTGGAGACAGCCTTTAAAAATCTTTTGCTCGCTCATGAAGTACAACACTGGAGGTCTACCATCACATTACTAGTTTTTTCCTCAACATTGGAGCAGATTTCTTTTTCTCTAGTTGAACCCTAAATGTAACTGGCTCTCATTTACAGGCCATGTTGCAGGGAAAATACACATCTTAGACACTAGAATTACACTCCATGTGGTGAGCTGTGATACAGGATCTACAAGGGATGTGAAAACTGGCTTGCTGAGGGACCAGCTGATTGACTCTCACATCTCAAATTCCCTTTGGCACTTAAATATTCTTTGACTATAATTTGAGCAAGATTGTAGGTGCTACTGAGGTTTTTGTTTGTTTGTTTTTTAAGCCAAGCGTATAAATTAAACATGCTTTGACATATCTCTACTATATTACATTTCTTTCAAAACATCCTCTTACTTAGGCTGTCCACTAATTCAGAAAAGCCTTTCTTCACTCCGAAATGAACAAAATTAGTTTAAATTCATAAGTATAAATATTAAATCTATATAAAAAACAAATAGAAAATTTAAACTCACCTGCCTTTTCTGAATAACTTACCAGCTGCTTTGACAATTGGCTCCCAAGATCTCTCATTTCAATAGTGAGCTGGGTCTTGTATTCAAATCCTTTCCCAAATTCAATGTAGGGAAGATCAGTCAGGTCACTTGCATTGGTGGCTCCACCCAGAGCTACAGTTATGAGGGCATTCAGGCCTATGCAACACAGTTAACAATTCTTGAGGCGAGGTAGTTTTGGTTATTTTAATCTTTTTGCATCTATATCTAAATTGATATTCTAGGAAAACAGTTACAAGAGGAACACTCATTTTATTGTCCACTTCACCCAACCACACAATATAAAACTGATGTGAGAAGACCAATTGGAGAACAAAAGGAATTTACATTTTTCAAAACTAATTAAAAATTGGAGACAGGGGAAATTGTAACTGTGAGATACTGAGTTAAAGAGTCCAAGGACATGCTAAAGTACAGAGGGATTAATATATCAGGAAAGTAAGTGTTCTACTAAATTTTTGCTATGCAAAGGGTGATCCTTGGAGCAGGAGTATGGCCTGCTCCTTCGAGCCTCTCAGAAATACAGAATCTCAGGCCCCATCCCAGACCTAAAAAATCAGAATCTATATTTTAATAAAATCCTTAAATGATTTGTATGCACATTAAGTTTGAGAAGCACAGCTCTAAATAACCTCATAAGGAATTGATAATCCAGTTGTAATTATAGGTAGCAAAAGACAGTAAAAGACCTCTTGTCAGGCAATTAGAAATACATGACACATAATTATCTAGAGCTGTAGCTCAGAGGCTTTGGGATTTTATAGACCAGAATATTTCAAAGAAAATTTCTAGGGACTAAGAGAGGGTTGACTTATTTTGCAAAGTAAGAACATTAAATAATGATAGTAATAAACTTGGCAATCATTATGGTCAAGGAAACCATAGCAATAACTGTGCTCTCATATATTAATAGTTATTATGTGCCTAGAAGTTGGTTAAGTGCTTTACATGCATTATCTTATTTGTAAGATACAAATACAACTGTATAGGTATGTAGAACTATAGCTCTATTTTACAGACAAGCAAACTGAGGCTTAGAGAGATTAAATCACCCACTCAAGTGGTATTTTTAGGTTTTCATCCAGATAGCCCAATTCCAAAGCCTAGACTCAAAGCAAATTTTAACAACAAAAATGTACTAAGGACATAATCATAAAGAGCAGTCTTAAAATTGAATAAGCTTTACGAAAACCTGACTCCACTGGCCCAAGTTTTCTCTCTCTCTCTCTCTCTCTTTTTTTTTTTGGAGCAGTCTTAAAATTGAATAAGCTTTATGAAAACCTGACTCCACTGGCACAAGTTTTCTCTCTCTTTTTCTTTTTTATTTTTAATAGATGGGTAAAGAATTCTTTGCATAGGACATGGAACCCAATGGACTAGAATAAAGAAATATTCACAGACTTGACCGAGAGTTAAGAATGACTTTTTGTATAAGTTTATACATGATTTTGAATGAAGTGAGGAATAGAATGAAGACAAAGTTTCAGGGACACACTGGAGAGGCTCAATTTCTAGTAGAGAAGAACAGACTAGTTGGCTGAAGTAGAATAAAGGAAGAAACATCTAAGTATTGGATGACCAACTTGTCCTGGTTTGCTTGGACTTTCCTGGTTTGCTTGGACTATACTTGAAACCTAAGTGATAGTCTCTGACTTGTCTCAAGCAAACAAGGACAGTCAATCACTCTTCCGAAAATGAGAATAAAGGGGAGAAAAGGAGTGGTGGGCAGGCTGGAAAAGGCAATGAGGAATGCTGAGTTCATCCATCAGAGTTCAACGATCAAGAGAAGGCATGATAATGGGTCGATTTATGAGGGGAAAATGTCTCACATCTGACTGTAAGTTCCAGGAAATGTAAAAATTTAAGAGTTATGAAAATCATGGAATTGGTTTGCAGCAACTATGCATGTAACTTCTTTGTAACTGCTTTTCTCAGGATGGCGGCTTCAATCCTGCTTTTTTCAGACTCATCCAATAGAAGAGTTCTATAATTTTAAATACAGTGTCTTCAATTCCTAAAATGACTAAAGGAAGAAAAGACTTCAGAAAGTGGGAAGATTAGTAGTCATTGAGTGAATTCTAGATTATTAGATCTTTAAAAATTCAGAAACTAATTTGAACCCAACCCACATGGATTAGTAGTTATAAAGCCACATCTACCATCAAGGATCCTCTTTCCTCTGGTCTCTTCTAATTCCATGGTAACTGTACAGTTGATACTTGTAAACTGTAGCAGTTTACATGGCTTTAAATTAGGGAGACTCTGCCAAGTCAATATATCATAGGGCCCAGCATCAACTGAAATTATGTGTATTTAAAAGTGGGAAGCCACAAATGTATATGACAAACAGAGATGCACAGACATGGACTGTGGATTAGTGGTTACCAGAGAGAAGGGGGATGGTGGAAGTAGATAGGAGTAAAAGGGGTCAAATATTTGCTGACAGAAGGAAATCTAACAAAGCAATATACATATGATGTATTATTGAATTGTATACTTGAAACCTATTAATTTCATTAGCCAAGGTCACCCCAATAAATTTACCACACACACAGTATAAAAAAAGGAAAAATAGGAAAAGCTGAAATTTAAAAAAAAGCCTACCCACCCAAACTAAGCACTCCAGGGTCTTGCTCATTAAAATTTCCACTATAGCTCATTAAAAAAAAAAAAAAAAAGTGAAGACTTGATAAAGAGAAATCAGCTTTAGTAAATAACGGGCAAAATAAAAATCCTTACTCTCCAACCATACATTTAGTGGACTTTGCAATTTGTTTAAAATTGGGGAGTAAAAACCAAACAGCGAAGATGAAATCCAGTCAGCCCTTCATAACAAACCTGGGAAGCAGATGTCTTAGGTTGGGTTCTCTAGAAACAGAATCGGAGATGATTTGGAGGCACACAGGTTATGGAGGAAGCATGTTCAGAAGAAAGGGGTGAGAGCAGGTGGGGGCGGAGGAAGGAGCTGAGCAAGACAGTGTTTCAGCTTGAGTCTAGCTTCAGCCGGATATTGTGAGGAACTTGGAGCATAAATTGCACCACATGGTACCATTTTGAGGCAAAGGTCCAACTGTTCTCTACCTGCTACCCAGGGATGGGATAGAGAGTAAACTCCCACATGAGGTGGCTCCCACTGACCAAGGGCAATTCCTCAAAGAAGGGGGACCTGTGAGCTGTTAGCAGCCAACACTAACAGCAGCTGGAGGATGGAGGAAATTGTCCAGAAGAGGAAGTCTGGGTGGGGCACCAATAGGAAAACAAGAAAGTTTTCCTATTCTTAGTCAAACTAGAACATGTAGGTGCATTTCTTCCATTGATCCATGTTTTAGTAAGAACTGACAATAAGTCAGACTGGGCATTGGCTCTCAAAGCCAAAAGCCTGGTGCCAGAGCTTTAAACACTCAGACACTACAGTTGTTCCACCAGTGGTCTAAAGAATGGAATTGATTAGAAAGCCTCAAAACATAAGTAAACATGTCCAGCAATGCCTGCAACTCTGGAAACTTAAAAAATGTTAGAAGAAAATAATTCAACTTTCCCATTCCCTTAGTCAAGGAGAAATACACAGTTTACTTCTGTTGACACTAAAGCAACAATATTAGGTAATGTGAGGCAAGGGAGACAGGGACCCTTCTCCAGGAAAGCTTAGGAAGGAGAAATATAGTAATATGAGAGAAAGAATAGGACTTTGTATTCAATGTTGGTTGGTTCATATACATAGGGTATAAAGAAAAATGTTAATGCCAAAATGTTCTTAGAGCTCATTTGCTCTGTCAAATGAATACAAAGTGGAAATGTTGGCAAATTCAGGGGTATACGAGTGCCTGGAAACTTTAGAGCAAGAACTGAGATCTGTTATTATAAAGTTAATAAACACCCCTTTCCCACTCTTCCCCCATGCTCAATACCTTCTTTTCTAAGTTCATCAGATTTCTGTTCAAGTTTTTCAATGTCATCATCCAATCCATCTGAAAATAAGAGAGCCACCTAGGAAAGTATTCAAAAAAGAAAAATGAGTAAAAAGGAGGTTATTGCAACCACAGACCAATAAATAAAATAAAACCAAGTTACCTTTCCACGAGCAGCTGATTTATTCTGAAACGCATCCCACAGTGAATTCAAGAAGTTTGCATTGAGAAAAGATGGTCCTTTAACTGTTACACCCTTCAAGCTGTTCAGTATGTTTTCACTGTAGATTTCAAACTTGGGGGAATATTTTTCCATGGCATTGGTCACTTGAAAAGCCACACTAACCTGAGTCTCTGTGCCCACCTCGCAGCTAACCCCACTAAGGGAGCCAATGGCACGTAAGATGTCTTGAAGGTAGGTTTCCACCCAAGACTGACCGTCGAGCAAAGCTTGCCCATTCTGCAGAGTTGAGATGTCAAATCCTACCACAACGTCCACAAAACAATCTAAGGTTCAAGGGGAAAAAAATACCTTATTAGATTAATGGATCCCTTTATGTGACTTAAATGTAATGTCTGAATCAAGTTACAAAGTTGGAAAACCAGAAAGAACATGAGGGAATAATGGAACATGCTCAGAATCACTCTTTCATAACCTGTAAAAGTATAAGTGTATAGTATTTTTTTTTAGCTAGTATAAAATCTAGATGACTCTATAACAATAAAAGTTCTGAAAGATTTTACTGTGGCCATTGAAAAAGCTATGCTGAGTCATTTAAATAGCTAAAAAAGTATATTATGGCAATATTAATAGTCTAAAATAGGAAATTCATATGCTATTTATCAATTGGCACCAATAGCACCCACTTACAAGTTTTTCAACAAATATGAAATTATAAATATAAGGGATATAAAAACATTTGCATAGAGAAAGTCGCTTAGAAAAAAATAAATTACAAAGTAATGTTCTAAAATGATTTAGATGATTTATCTTTCTAAACATAATCTCTGATTCCTTTTTTAGTCTTCTAACATCCACTCAGAAAAGAAAGAGGCAAAAGACATATCGTCCAAGAGATTCTTTGGGATCTTATTTGGTTTAAGTCCTGCAAGTGAAGAAACTGGGAACCAAATTACCCATATTTAACTGTGTCAAAGATGGTGCTACATTCAGAGCTCAGCCACTCAGGAAGCCAAAGCCAAAGACATTTTGGGGTTCAAGAAATACTGAGAGAGGTATTGCATTCAAAATGCTTTACTCTTTTTCTTATTAACTCCAGAAACCTTTAAGCACTGGAGAAATACAAAGGACTTGATATTTTAAACTGAATCTCCTAAAGGAAAGATTACTAGAGAAGAATAAAGTCATGTGACATACAGACTTTTCTTTTAAGAACTTCTAGCTTGGGTAAAAACGTCAATCTTTTCTAGTTAATTCAACACATACAGATTGCTTGGAAATTAAGGGAAAAGTGTTTAATTTGCTTTGTTTAGATAAGCAGTTTTTCAGATATTTGTTGTATTGACAAATGCGTGCCTCCACTACCTCCAGACACGTTAGTCAGTTAAACTTTTGCAAGTCTTTGAAACCAAAATGTTTTAATTCTTAAAACAAGAGCCAGTAACTTGATTCATTTTAGTGAGAAAAGAGTCAGGTGAGGGAAAATAAAAGCCTTCAAATTTCACAATGACATTGGAAGCAAATCGATGTTCTCAAGAAAAAAATCTGAAAGGTGGGTTTTCTTATTTTACTACACATACTTTACTGGGAAATCTCTTCTTCAATATTCAGAAAGGGGGATGAAAAGAAACTACTCAGAAAGAGCAGAATATGTCCTTTGCAAAATTCCTTTTGAATCTGTGTCCTTTCATTTATATCTTGAGATTAAAAATTCCACTCTTGGATGAACATTGTTTTAACCCCTGAACGGAAAACCGTTCAGTAACCAAGATATGTTACTGCCTTCAAGGAAAACAGCCTCTTGTATTAAAAAAAAAAAAAAAAATGGCAGAAATAACAAAATGTCATTGAGTTATCCTGGGAACGGTCCCCTATACTTTACCATTTTGTCTAGATTACTGACAGTACAAATTCTAGTAAATAAATTCCTTCTATTTCTTTAACTAATTCACCTTGACAACTAATTCCATAATAATGTGAGCAAAAGAATAGAATTTGGGGAGCAATTCCAGAGTTAGCTATGTATCCAAATAAATTAGAAAAACTAGGTCATACTAATCAAGTAGACTATCATGTAATGGCTTGCAAACTCTTCAGAGATACCTGCCCTCAAACTAGAAGCCTTTGAAGTTAATTAAGAGGCAGGGATGGTTTTGGAAGTGAGCTAGGGAAAAGAGTAAAATTGGATTTCTAAAGAGAAATGATGAAGGATTAAACTAGGATAGCAGGAGTAAGAAATGAAAAGGGGCAATAAATGCAAGGGAAATCAAGAAGGTAATGCATAGGACTGGCCATCCAGGGTGAAAAAAAAGGAGAAGTAAAACCAGCATTCTAAGCATTTGACTAGTTCTCACAAACAGCAGTGTGGAAGTTCAGTGTGGGGAGGTCTTTGAGTGGGAAGGCACAAAGTTGAGTGTTAAGTGTTAGTCATGTACCAGTCATGAGTCACATTCTGCTAAATAACTTGGCAAATCTCTTAACATCTCCAGGCATTAATTTTCTTTTTTATAAAAGTGAAGAGATTATGTATTTCAAAATAAAAATACAAAAGAACAGAAAAGAATAGATTGGAATGACAATTACAATCTTACGGTTCCCTGCCAGACCCAAAAGCTGATTTTAATTATCCGACTTATAAAGAAAGTCCTTAATTGGAGTTGCTGCAGATTCTCAGTGTTAAGAAATGCTGTCAAGAGGGTAGGGCATATTGAGGTTCGAAGACAAATTCTTGAGAAAATACTTTAAAGGAGAAAGTTGGGCTGTTGGCAATTAGCTAGGATAAAAGAAAAATTTGTTTAGGGCCTTTGAAAGAAGGGATATTTTAGATGGAAAAACAATGATCTAGAAAATCTAGTTAGGTACTGTAAAAGATCTAGTTTATATGCCTCTCAAATTTGCTTGTACCTCCTGCACCCCAACACACACCCAAGGTCTTGGTCATTTGTCCAATGGAGAACCTCAGCTGGCACCACTGTCTGGTTGCCCAACACTGTGGTGGTGGAGGGGCAGGTTTTGACATGGTCTTCATCATGCTCACTGCAGTAGGGCTGCAACGATTCTGGTGCCCTTGCCCAACCCAACTGAACTCATGAAAAGTTCTGGTTTCTTCCACCACCCCCAGCCACAGATATAATGCATGATGAGTTCTGTATCTGGTTTCTTCAAAGGGCAGGAGAATTAATTCTCCATAATATAAACTCTGACCAATGAGAGGCCATTGATGGGAAGGAACTGGCAGATTAATCCCTCCTATATTCCTCTGACAGACAAGACTATGCAGTGGTTCTCTACAGCTCCCTTGGTGACGTTCTACATAACCAACATGTTATGCTTTCTCAAGAAGCTGTAGCTAGCTTGGTTACATCTTGTATTTTCCCTCCTTTCCTTTATCATTTCCCTTCCACTCACTCTGGCTTCCCTGGGATTTTATTCCCGCTAAAGTTTTAGCTCATAAAGTATTAGCACATAAACTTTGCTTTCAGTTCTGTTTCTAGAGAACTCAGTAAAGACAGGAACATACAGAGATCCTGGTCAAGGAAAGGTGGGGATGACCATCTAACTTTTTTCCCCTATATTTCCCACATTCCTTGAATCAAATCCCAAGGATGTCTCTTACCTCATCCTAATCAGGCTGACCTTTTGCTTAAGCTCTTTTTTGATTCATTTATCCATGATAATGCAAAAGATGAGAAGTATTCTTGATTATTTTGCTATCTAATCATGGCTCCATGCCAAAAAAGACAGGACTTCTAGATCCTGAGAACTTCCTGGTCTCCTCTAGGTGGTCAGAATAGCCAGGTTCAAAGAAAAATCAGAAAAAATAAGCATGAATAAAGCTAAAAATGAAAACAGACTTTGGAGTTTAGCTGCATAGGGAAATTGGGCATATGCTGAACACAGAATTTAAAGATGGCTCTGAAATGTTGCTAAAATATTGAAGTTCTTAAACTAAGGAACACTTGGTAAATTGCCCTCCTGTTGAACTAACCTCATCACTCCACATATTTACATTTAAAAGACCACTTCAATATATACTCTGCAACACTCTGTGACAGTTACTAATACTGAACATTTACCATGTCCTTCCTATTCATAATCTCACTTATCCTTATGAAACAGACTAAGTAGAAACTCTTCTAAGATTCATTCTGCAGAAGAGTTTGTGACTGCTGTGACTTAGAGCAGTTTGCTCAAGGCCTCACAGTTATTACTGTGGATCTCACACTTGGAATCAGATCCAGGCTTGTCTGGAGTCCATATGCTGAACTACTTTATCTTGCCACTTCCTGGGTAGCCCGTAATGATAGGTCAGGTAGGTTACTAGCTCTGCTACTAGACTGTGACATTGGAAGTGACAGCTTAACAGCAAGTGGTTTCCTTAGGGAGTAGAAGCTTATGAAAACAATTTCAAGACACAAACCCATGACATCTTAATAAGTTTCAGATATAAATTGGTGTAGCACAGTATTTAGATACTATTTCTTTATAACATCAATATCAGATACTCTAGATATCAACTATATCAAGAAAACAGACAGCTTAATTTAATAACAAAAAATGGGATGGAGTCATAGACCTAGATTTCAAGATTTGCTGTTACTTCCTGTAACATCTAGGCCAAGTTACCAATATTCCTTGAGCCCCAGTTTCCTTATTTATAAATGGGAATAAAAATACAAACCATTTAGGTTTGGGGGAGAATTTAATGAGATAAAAACATTTCAAATGCTTAGAGCAGGGGTCCCCAACCCCTGGACCGTGGACCAATACCCTTCAGTGGCCTGTTAGGAACCAGGCCGCACAGCAGGAGGTGAGCAGCAGGAGAGCAAGCTAAGCTTCATCTATATTTGCAGCCGCTCCCCAGCACTAGCATCACTGCCTCAACTCCACCTCAGATCACCAGGCATTAGATTCTCATAGCACAGGTTCCTGGTGCCAGAAAGGTTGGGGGATGCTGGCTTAGAGCACCATGCTTGACCTTTCATAGATGCTCAAGAAATATTGATCCTTAGTCATTTCCCTCATATCTCCTTACAGATGACCTTTCTTTCACGTATATTAAATCATAGTATACAACTAGAGAAAAAGAGATGATTTAAACTTTATAAATGAGAAAATTAAGAAAGAATAGTGATGTCTCCAAAATTATGCATATTTTAATAAGAAGCAAAGCTAGAAGTACAGGCTGTAAGTCATGTTTTCTTTGAGCCACACCAAGCTACTGTCTGATTTCCTTGAGTTGGGAGTTTATAGTTTAAGAAGAACTGGCATCCTCTAATATGTTTGTACATGCCTTTGAAGCTTTATCAGTGTTCATTCCAGCCTCATCAGTCCTTAGCTCACAGCTTGGCTACAAGGCCTCACATTCTTTCTTGCTGCAGTAATAACTTCAGAATTATCTTAATATAGAGCACTTTCCTCATTTATTTATACATTCACTATTTCCTATAAAGATAACACATTCACTTTTTGGATCATATGCTCCTGGTTTTGACTTTCCACATGGTTTTCTTTTACTCTCTCAAGTACAGACCAGATAGTTCCAAGAAAATTTTCTTCCTAATCATTGGAAATGAGTATTTCATGTGAAATAGGAAATTAATGTAGAAGGTTTGGCTGAAGTCATCAGATATATTCCAAAGTATGGGGAGATCATGAAGCAGGATTTACAAAGACAATAGTCCCTGATCAATTATGGGACCCTAAACTTTAGCCTCCACATCGGGTCTTATACAAAGTTTGAACCTGGGGTTTAGATGAACATTTTTGAAGAGAGTTGTTGATGTGCTATGAGCTCTCCCACCACATGCACACATACACACAGACAAGGAAAGGAGGTAATTTCCTCTTTGAGTTGAGAGAGAAGAGCTTTAACAGAGACCTTGGAGATGACACAAACCTAGAAAGTATAAAGAATGTGACACAGGGTGGCATGCTGCTCTCTCTACAAAGGAGAGGTGGCCATGCTGGGTAACTTTCAGTGCGTATCAAGGAAATTGATATGTTATTGTTTCCCATGGAGCTACTGTGGCCACATGTAAGAAACAGCTCTTGTGGGCTCTTCTGATCTCCTTTCCAAGAAGGCTACCTGGAGGGCCAAGGAGATGGCAGTAGAATAAAGCTGCAGGCATTACCAGGTTCCCAGAGGCCGAGGAAGGCACGTAAGGGAATGTCTGGAATTGAGACATGCTTATCATCCTCAAGGGAACTATGGTGGAGAGGTCCCCTGACAAATGTTCTTTAGTTGGGGTAGAAATAATGAAGGGCAGGAGGGGAAATCTTTGAAGGACCCAGGGATAGACCCAACTTTAGACATGGGCTACCATTGGAGAAAACCAATTTCTGACAAGTGCGATCAGGTAAGAACTTTCCCGTACTTCTTTAACTCTTCTCCCTTCCCCAGTCCATTCTGGAGAGGCCAGAAACCATGGTTAGCAAGAAGAGGGCAGGTCCTGGGAGAAGGGGGTAGAAGTGAGAGGTAGGAAACAACAAAATGCCAACCATCTCTTTGTGGCAGGTGAGCAGCCTGTGACAGGCTAGGAAAGCAGAGTAACCTTGAATGAAGTTTGAAGTTTTAATGGTTACACTGGGATGAACATATTAATCACCAAAAAGAGGTTCATTTATTACCTGAAAGTGACTAGGGGCAAGGGAAGAGCTGGCCCCATGAATAAATTTAATGGATCAGTGGTAGACAAAAATGACTTTATAATTACATCCCAGGTGTCATGCTTATTCATAGGAAAGTTTAAATATGCATTTTCTCATTTAATCTTTACATTGATCTTTTGAAGTAGGTGCTATTATTGTTTACACTTTACTAATGAGAAAATTAAACTTATAAAAGAAATTTGTCCAAGAAACAATGGCTATTGAGCGGAGATTTGTCTCCAGAGCTACTTCTTAACAACTGTGTAAGCTTTCCCTTCCCTGGTGAACATTCAGGGTTAGTGTCTACCATGGATAGTTAAACAGAACCACAGCTAACCTGTTGGGTACTTGTGCAAAAATAGAATAAGTTATCCCCCCTTCAAGATCTCCTTCCATGTATTGGAAAAAAATATATGTCAGAATGTGCTGATTTTAGAGAAGCTGCTTACTAACTTCTGCAGTAAAGTTTCATCATAAAGCTATAAACCTCTAAAGACATTCACTATAGACCTATGCTGCAGCATTTGGCAGCCCTGTAGACCTTATTGCCAGGCAACCAAAATCTGTCAAATAGTTTACTTCTTTGATGTATGTTCTCCGGCCTATGAAACCAATCAGATTGTAAATAAGGGACTTTTCTTCACACCTTCTGAAATCAAAGGATTTCCATTCACAAAGAGGTGATGCTTTCCCTGGGGACAGCGAGAAAAAAAAGACACAGGCTCTCAGATGCTGTTTCTCAACCCACAAGTCACAAAAAAAAATGCTTGATAACCATGAAAAGTTCAATTTGAAGTCCAAAGGTACAAATCTAAGTTCTCCCACCAGCCTCAGGGGACATAAATAGAGCTTGAGAAAAATGTCAGAGAAGACAGGGGAGAAATAAACATGAAGGACACATTTGAATACTTACTGCTCTCACCCCCCGAGGTACAGATGTTGCGAATTACCCTTTTCTTGATCTTACTCAGTTCATCAAAGTTATGAACCGAAAGTTTTTTATTTGCAGTCCCGGTGATCTGAATGAGCTGCTGGTCATCCACATCCCCGATGCCCACGGAGTAGATGTCGATACCTTTGTGTCTCAGGTCTTCAGCGGCCTGAGCCACCTCATCTTGGGACTGACCATCTGTGAGGACCAGCAATACCTGTGGGATACCTGCATTTATCCGGCTGCCCATGTCTGTCCGGAAGTAATGCCCCACTTGCCGGAGTGCAGCGCCAATGTGTGTGTTCCCAAAGATCTGCTGGATGTTTTCAATCTTAAATGATATCTCCTTTTTGCCTGTGAACGTTCCCAGTAGAAACTCTTCCTGGTAGGTATGGCTAAACTGGGCCACTCCTATCTGCGCTCTGTTGACACTAACATCAAAGTCTTGAACAACAGATGCCAAGAATGCTTTCATCTTCTTGAAGTCGTCTGGATGTATGCTACTTGAACCATCCATGAGGAAAACGAGATCTACGTTTTCGATTTTACAGTCTACGAAGAAGAGGAAAGGGAACAACATCATCAAAATCAGATTGTTATTCTATTTTTAACCCAGCCAGAGTAAATTAAATGTTTGCAGCTGTCTAGAAATGGTATTTTTGAGAGTGGTTTCTCTTATGCCACCCTGTGGTTCACATTAATTGGAAGAGAAATATAAACAAAGAGACAGATGGTCTGTAGTGCTTACTTGGCCACCATGGTTAGTTGAACCAGTAAGTACTTTCTGGTTTATTGAGTAATCAGAGTTCTAAAGTCATGCCTTCTGACCTATATCCAGTCAGTTTTCAGTTTTCCTCTTTATCATCCCCCTTTCGGGTGCCTATAGGCAAAAATATCTACTTGAGAATAATATTTTTGAACAAACAATGGAGTACTGTTTAAAGATGCTTCCTTTGTATTAACACAGCAAATACAAAAGAAAAGAATATGAAAGACCACTGCCAGTGAATGAATTATGCTTAGCATATGCTCATGTGTATCCCTTAGCCTTCTGGTAAGCATTAATATCTCCCTGAATTCCCCAGAGATCTCACCACTGACCTAACTCAATTCTCAATTTAGCCTTGAAAAAGATTAAAGGTGTCTGAGAGTCCCAAAGTCAAGATAAGCAGGAAGAGATAAAAAGAAATATGATAAATAGATCCTTCAGGAATTGGTTAACTTATTAAATTCCTTTGTTTCAGATTCAAATAAAGGAAATAAACTACTTTTCCACCCAAGAACTCTCCATATTAAAATGCAATATCAACATCTACGGTGAGCTTGAAAAGGATAGGTAGGATTTTAGGCATTGACCAACAGAAGGTAAGAGATTTTAGTTTTCAATAAGACTCGTAAAAATTTTGTTAGTTTTGTGAAAGAACAAGATAGTAGTTGTAATCTAAGGAGGCAATGCATATGAAAACCAGAAAAGTTAACTTTAAAGAAGAATTGTACCAAGGTGTTGGAATCCTAGATTAATACCAATTCATTTAATAAAAATACTTAATACTTTTAGTATGATACATCTTAATAAAAATAAGAAGGCATTTTAATAGACCACACTCTCCCTTTGAAATAGTATAAAATGGCAGCTGACTGAATGAGTGAACGAATACACACATACACACCTAAGTATGGCAATGTAATCCCCAGATGTCAAAATAGCATCCAGAGCAAAGAAGTCCTACTGTACTCTGGAAAAATCTAAGGCTGGAATAGAATGTTTATTATTGGGCTTCATGTTTTTAATGAGATTGTGCCATAATAGAAGGACCTAGGGACCTCCAGCCTAAAGGAGAGACAACTTGTTAGGAAAAAAAATGGAATTTGATTTACGTAAAGAGCAGGAAAAAGAACCGGTGAGCGAAAATGACACTGTAAACAAATTCGTGTTCTAATACATAAAGCTTCCTCAAAAAATGGTGAATTCCCCATCATTAGAAGAATTTAGGCAGGAGTGAGTAGGAATGTTATAGAAGGTACCTTTCTTTAGGGAGGAGGCCGAATGCAATGTCCTTGAGGTCTTTCCACCCCTGAGATTCTGTAACAGGGGAAGTCCTGTGAACAGTTAGTACTCTTTCTCTCCTATTTGGAGAACTTGCTCCTGAGGGCTATTGCTTTCTCCCTCATTTGGACCTTTGCTGATAATTAAGAAAAACTTAATTGACAAACCTTACCTACTTGTGAAGAGTTACACACACTGGCTGACACGTCTGAAAATATCCCTTTCAGGCCTCCAAAAGTCTCCACGAAGAAGTACTTGTCACTCGACCCGGCAATGGCCAGCAACTCCACGAGGTTAGCATCAGCAATCCCCACAGCCAGGACAAGAATGCCTTTGTCCCGTAAGGCCTTGGCCGTGGCATTGAGCTTTTTTGCATCATGGGATTCTCCATCAGTGATCACAATGAGAACTTGGGGGACCCCCCGGTGCAGGCGGCTGCCCCGGGTTTCAGTGAACATGTAGTTTGAGAAGTCTAGTGCCTCGGCAGTGTATGTGTTGCCCCCTATGGGCCTCTGGTTCTGGAGCGCTGAAATCACCTCTGATTTTGAGTCAAGATCACCCAGATTAAACAGCACCTCTGGGTCATCAGCATACCTCAGAGCCCCAAACTGGACCCGATTCTTGCCAACATCGGCTTTTTTCACCAAGTCAATCATGAAGTCCTTCATGATATTATATTCATTTTCATCAATGCTGCCAGAGCTGTCAATTACAAACACTACATCTAAAACTTCAATCCTCTTGCATTCTAAAAGAGGAAGAGAAAGGAAAACCATGAGATTAGTTTTGGACATCACGAGAGACTCCCCTCCTCTCACCTACTTTCTAATTGCCACTGTGTCTTCGCCATGGTATCAAGCTGTACATTAGAATGTCCATTCCTTAGATAACAGACACAATATACATATATTTGTGATGCCAAGATGTAATAATATGCAAATAGGTGTGATTTCAGGAAAAGGCATATGTGAAATGAAGCCTTCTGTGAGGGGTGGGAGGGGAGAAAGCTTCTGGACTAAAAAAAAAAAATCACAGATCTGTGGAAATTTCCATATAAATGGGTCTCTCAACATGTGCTTTAATTTATACAAATTCGTGTATTTTTTTTAAGCCACAGGGATCATGAGATTTTATTCTTAAGATAAACCTTGGGGAAATGACCAAATGAAAATGAATTTGGCAACACTGTATATTTTTCCATGGTTATATGATGGCTGAATTTTCAAGGTTACATTTTCTCCCTTTTTGACATTCTTGAAACATTATCTGTTTTCATTATTGGGCCTCATCATAGAAATAAGCCCTTTTCACACTTCGCCTAACTAAGTTGTCCCAGTGTGACGCTCCTATTAACTTTTTATTCCTTGGTTCAATGCCATGGAAAAGTAAAGCAAGAAAGAGCCAATTAATACTTAACCTATGTGTATGTAGCACATTTTATCTAAAAGTGAAGAGTTCTAAACCCATCTCATTCATTCTGGGGAAGTGGAATTGTAAGATAGTTAATGATTTAGTCCTCATGTAGCACAATGTCTCTACATGCCTTACAAAGGTATGTTCCAAATGTTAACTCATCCATTCTGGAGAAATGGAGTTGTGAGCAAGTATCCCCCTCTCCCCCACCAGAGGCTCATTACATGCCCTTCTTTGGCCAGCACTTTCTTGCTATGTGGTAGGACTGTTGAAAATCTTTGGGCCAATATATTTACCCAAATGACTAGAAGCCATGTATACAGAGTCATAAACCAAATTTTCAAAAAAGGCTGTGTAAGATAATAGAAAACACATATTGGTCTTCGTCTGCATTTCCTGACGCAGAGTTCTTGAAACCCTTGTAATTTCCTGGATGATAGGAGTGCCTTTTGTTCTAATGAGGTGAATGGCTCCTGGATGGCTCCTAGATGAGAGCTAGTCACCAGAAAGACCAAACCATGATTATAAGCTTGGAATTTTCAGCACCCCACCCTCATTTTCATGAGAAGGGGGAAGAGCTGCTAATGGATTAATAATTCATTGTGCCTATGTGATGAAGCTTCCATAAAGTCCCAAAAGTATGGGGTTCAGTGAGCTTCAAGGTGGGTGAATGCATGATGGTGCTGGGAGAGTAGAGAGTCCAGAGAGGGCCTGGAGGCTCCGTACCCCTCCCTCATAACTTTGCCTATACGTCTCTTCCATGTGAATGTCTTCTTGTACCCTTTATCATATCTTTTAATAAACAGTGTTCCTTGAGTTCTGTGAGCCACTCTAGCAAATTAATAGAACCCAAGGAGGGGATTGTTGGAACCTCCCTTCTATAGCAGGTTGGTCAGAAGCATAGGTGATAACCTGGGCTTGTGATGGGTGTCTGAAGTAGCAGTGGGGGCAGTTTTATGAGACTGAGTCCTTAACCTGTTGGGATCTAGGTAGAGAGTGTCAGAGTTGAGTTGAATTCTCAGACACCGTGCCGGTATCTGAGAGTTGCTCTTGGGTATGGGAAAAAATCTCCACATATTTGGTGACCAGAAATGAAGTATGCTATGTGACTAGTAAAAGAGATAAGAAAGAAACACACAGTAGAAAAACCCTACACAGAAACAAAACAAAACAAAACAAAAATGGAATGTTTCCTGTACTGGCTGGTTTTGCAAAAGAAGAAACTATCTATGTTCCTTTGGCCTCCCTGGAGAGCCTGCCTGGATTACCCAGGAGACGGGGGCTTTAACTGCTCAGGGATGAGCACCCTTCAAAGAGTTCAGATTTGTTCTGGGTTGAATTACTGGGAAATACAATCCAGGTGTATTTCTCTTTCCACAAAACACACACTCACCAAACCTTCTAGGAGGAGTTGAATTGAACTGCTATTTGAATAACAAAACAATGTTTGTCCCTTCTCTCAAAACTCCATTAAGACCATCTCCTTCATAGATATTTTCCAGACTGATTCTGTCATCAGACCCTCTGGGTTACAGTATAAATCAGTTCCTTAAGTGTTTTCAAAAGTATTATCTCATTTTATACAAGTAAGGGTTTTTAAAAACTGTAAAATAAACTAACATGTATAGTGAATGTTAAGTCAAAGGGGAACAACCTTGTCCAGCAGGTTATGCCCCTCTCTGGCCTGCCTTGATAGCCCAAGGTTGTATGAGGCTGGGCTATACACCTCTCCTGGGGTGGAATGGACTCTGTAGTGTAATGTATGCTCTAGAGTTTCCCATGGGATCAAGCTGAAGCTAGATTCCAGCTAAGACCACCATGTTGCTTAGTTCCCACCCATGCCCTGTCCTGCTTTCCTCACTTCCCTTCTGAAAACACCTCCTCAATAAATCTCTTCCATAAGAATCTGACTTGGCTTCTGACTCTAGACCTAGGATGATACTACTTTTTTTTAAATGGAGGCCTTACCACTCTAGTGCTATTTGTCTACAAATAGGAAAGAATCTAAGCATACCAAACTTGTTCCTTACTGTTTAATTCAGCAGTTCTGTTGAGGAAAGTCATATATTATATGTAGGTCAAAAGTCACTAGGATAAACATTTCAATGAAACAAGAAGTTTAGGATGTTCAGATAGTAGTCTATTTAATTCAAAAATAATAACCGACATGCACACATGGTGTCTGGATAGCCCCATAATGGGTATAGCCAGGCCTACCTTCACGTGGGCTGCATATTCCAAAAACAAGATCATCTTCAATGCGCTGCAGAATGTCAAAATTCTCAACATAAAAAACCATCTCCGGCCTTCCGCTGATCTCCTCCAGCTGGGTGACATTGGAGCCGAACACCCCCACGGAATAGATAATTATACCTTCTTGCCGAAGAGCTACTGCTGGGTCCTTGACTACGTCATGAGCTTCACCATCCGTGATGAGGATGAGAAACTTCCTGACATTGGGCCGGGCCCCCTTGGCGGGGCTGAAGTACTGAGACACAAAGGTCAGGGCAGCACCAGTCCACGTGGTTTCTCCAATGTGAGCCATTTGGTCTATCGCACCTAAAATTTCACTTTGGGATATGTATTTGTTGAGCTGAAACTCTTCCTTATTGATGTCGCTGAACTGGACTACACCAATTTGCACCCGATCTGCCCCAATCTGAGATTTGCTCACCAGGTTTTTCATAAATGTTTTCATTTTGATGAAGTTTTCACTTCCTATACTGCCAGAACTATCCACCAGAAACATAATGTCAGCTTTCATCTCTCTGCAGGCTGCATGGGAGAAAGCAAGATGTTTACTCAAGTTGGCTTCATGTAAAAGAAAAATATTAAGAGTGAACAGGAAAATCCAAAACACACATAATACTAAATTGAAGTTAACCATGTACTTGGTAAAGACTGTTGCAGGTAAATAAAGCATTGGAGGCAATAAAAGTGAGACGATTCTGTTATTTAGTAATTTGCTTTAATATTTAACTCAGGCTTCCTCAACCTCAGCACTACTAGGACATTTTGGGCCAGATCATTTTTATTGGCGAGGGCAGTCCATGCATCGTAGGATATACTACAGAATGTTCAACAGTCTGACCTCTTTCTGTTAGATGCCAGTGTCACTCCCTTAGTTACGACAACTGAAAATGTCTCTAGACATTGCCAAGTGTCCCTTGAGGGGACAAACTGTCCCCTGGTTGGAAACTACAGATATAGCTCAAAGATTTCATAAAAGTTTTCCTAAAAAGCAATTTAAATAAACCTGAAGAACTCCTTAAAATCAGAAATCATGTGGTCATATTACATATGTGGTATCTAACTATATACCTATGCTAGCAGGGATTTGTGAGGAGAAGCTAATTAATACTAGGGAGAATGCCTCCAGATATTTTTATGCTTCAGATATTAATTAGAATAGCACTATAATGGGCCCTTAGTTTTGTTCCGGAAACAAACACAGTTACACAAGTCAACCAATCTCAACTTGGAAATTTATGTTGTTTCTCTGAACTTGCAATGACAAATATTGCAAGAAGGCAACTTGTGAGCTGAAGTCCAAAGGTGAAGCCACCATTCTCCTACCTTCTTCAGCACAGATTTCTTGAACAACTTGGTTTCTTATGTTTTTCAAAGCATCAAAGTCATGGACGTAGTATACCCTCTTCTCCTTGCCAGCAATTTCTTGTAGCTGTGTTCTGTTGGCTTCCTTGACCCCGATGGCATGAACATGGATGAGCTCATTCCTCAGTCTGTTTGCAGGCTCCGAGATGCTATCCTTGGACATGCCATTTGTTAGGACAACAAGGTGACATGGCACTCTGTTTCCTCGTTGCTGCTTTGCTTTTTGCAACAGCCCCAGTGTGAAATTCAGAGCTGCACCCGTGTTTGTATTCCCACCCATCTGCCTGATGTTCTCAATAGCCTTTCCCAAATCATGCTTGTTAGAGTATTTATTGATCTCGAATTCCAAGTCCCAGCTGTCAGCGTACTGAACGGCTCCAACCCGCACCTTTTGGGGAGCGATGTTGAACATCCTTACAACTTCTGACAGGAAGGTCTTCATTTCTTGGAAGTCTGTGGCCCGGATGCTCCCAGAGCCATCAATGAGCAGATAGATGTCTGCTTCTTCAGTGTCCACACAACCTAAAATGGAACCAAAAAGTTGAGTGTGGCATTGGGGTAAGTGTGAAGAAGAAATGGGAACAGACAGAACAATAAATACAAGCCTCTTCCAACAGAAAAATGGGAAACCGTTTCTAGGAGTAAAAGACATACTCTGTTAAGTTAACATAGAGGAATCTTAGCATCAGCTGGGCCAAATGAATTTCTTTTCACAGTTTAAGGTTATTTGGATAATTCTCTGCCATGAATCAGGGTAAATCTGGAAATAGTAAAAGATTTGAAAGAAAACTTGAAGAGGATTTTTACAAGTCACTTCTCTCATTAGTGAATAACTGCTTTGTAAAAAGTCCTTTGGTGTGTGGGACATGGAAAAGGTTCTTAACTGAACATTGTGGACATATGGGGTCTCTTTTTTGAAATCTTGAACAAATTATTTACTCCTCATCAATACCTAGTCAATTAATAAAACTAAAGGTATTTGTCAGTGGCCTTATTTGTGTAGGGCAATGACACTTCTATAGTAAACGTGCTATAAATATTTGATGAAGAATATATACATATATGCTTATAGGTGTATATACACATGAAATTTTTATACAGAATACATGTGTATATATGAAGTATCTAAAATATGTTGTTCTCTGTCTCTCTAAACTCACAGATACTAGAATAGCACTTCACAACAAATTAATGACTCTGTCCTCAATCCAATTTGTGCTTCCTGTTCATTCTCTAAATTGGAATTTGGAGATGAGGGCAAAGGAGAAAGGAGAGAAAATACAAAAAGAAACGAAGAGCAGGGGAACATGACAGGTGAAAGAGAAAAAGAAATGAGGGGATAAAAACAGCAAAAGATGGTATTCTGAAGTGGCTATAAGTGATGAAGAATCCAGGTACAGCGGCACGAAAGAGGAAGTGAAAGGGGAAATAAATCCCTTCTCCCCATTCCGACACCTCAATAACTTATATTCTCCCCCAATTTACATTTCATGTGATCAAGCTATAGTACAAGATTAGGAACTTAGTCTCACTCTCCACCTCATATCCCAGCAATCCTTTTCATATATATAATACCTGAAAGACAAGAAAAAAGAATCTGAATAATCCTTTTCTCAGCAAAAGACTTTACCAGATTTGAGACTTTCAGTTCGTTCTGAAAGGACAGAGACCGTGTGCGTTATTTGCTTCCGCAGCTTCTTCAGAAATGTCTGGTTGTGAGCAGCCAGGTCGGAGAAAGTCTTCAGTTTGGAGATATACTGCTCAGCGGGGTGCGATGCTATCTTTTCCAGCTGGCTGTCACTGGCTGCCTCGATGCCCATGGTGAAGATGGCCACGCCCTGGCGCCGGAGGTTGACGGCTGCCATGGTAACATTGTCTTCTGATGGCCGGTGGGTCACCAGGACGGCAATCTGGGGCACCCCCTGATTCTTCCGACTGCCATTCTGTGCAAGGAAGACTTCCTTTCCGATCTTTCTGATGGCAGCTCCCGTGTAGGCATTCCCAGCCTGGGGAGAGAGGTTCTGTATATACTGGAGAACCTCTGACTTATTTACGCCCCTGCTCAGTGAATTAATCACCTTCGTCTCATTGCTATAAGCCACAAGGCCAATCCTCATGCAATTCTCCTTTATGTCAAGAGCAGATACACTTTCTTCCAGGAATTCTTTAAGATAGTCGAAGTTCTCCTGGCTGCCATTGATGGACACATCCAACAGGAACACAACATCAGCCACAGAAGGGCCTTGGCAAACTGTATAGGCAAGGAAAACAGAAACATAAGTTTAGTTGTAGGTTCAGGGTCTGTGCTCAGCATTAGAAGGCCTGGAGAACATCTACCGGAGCTTGACTGTATGCTTAAAGAAAGGAGGAGGCATACAAAACGATTATATGAAATTGAGATCAGAGCGTCATGGTTTTAATTAGACCTTAGCTAAACTCCCAGCTTCGATTTCCTCATTTATAAACTAGAGATAATATTTATCTCATAGAGTTGTTATGGGGATTAAATGAGATAGTGTATTTATCATGGGGCCTGGTACATAAGTCATTCAATGAACAGCAGCTACTACTATCATATTAAAATCATTTAAGCATCATCACTGATAAAATCAGCAGGTATAGTCCAAATATGCCTAAGGGATAGTAAGAGAATAATAATTATTTTATTTGGGAAAGATACTAGCAATAAGATTCATGTTTTGTTTTGTTTTTTTAGATCACCAAAGAAAAGCATTCTCTAGTAATAATAGATAATTATATATGTCATATCATTCTGATTTAATCAGAAATAATGAGAGTTTCCTTTACTACTTATTTGGACTTGTATACTTTGAGCAAATTGGTTTTTACTGGCTCTCCCCTGCTTCTCACTTGTCATAAACTCTCGGTCCTTCTTGTTAGTTAATAGAATAGTACGAGAGGACAGACCAGGACAGAGGTTGGAGGTGGAACAGGATACAGCACAGCTAATTTAGAACAGAGTAGCAGGAAGGAAGGCAGCGTGGGAATGAAACTACATGAGCATGGAAATCGAGAGATCTGACCTAGCTCTGACTTCGAACTGCATTGCCTCTAAGGATGGCTGCAAGTTGCTCTCTGCAGCATAAGGGGTTTGGACTACCTGAAGTTGTTTCCAGCTCTAATGGTCTGTGGTTACACTCAATGACTTCAGGAATCAGAATATCTTTAGGGAAAAAACTACCTTTTAAATGAACCAGTAATAAAAATACATGCCAAATAAAGCCCAGGGAGATAGCTCAGAGATAAGCTGGTAACAGGGAGAAGGTGTCCCTGAATTTTAAGAAGCCTGTAAATAATATGCAACATGGTTAAGTGAAACATGGAAGACCAAGGCTTGTGGGGTTCACTAGATTTAAAATGGCCACAATCATTGGGCTCTTTTGAACACACAGATATTTAACATTTGAAAAGGCAGCCGGGTTTTGGGGGAAAAGGATGTTCACAGAGTCTCATTCCACCCTCCATGCTGATTTTTCAAAAGTATTTTATCACCATTTCTATACGTGCACCCTAATCTCACCTTCGACAAGAACGTCATCGACTGCGCCTTCCTCGTACTGAGCCGCATCCTTGATGATCTGCGTCATGTTCTGGGAGAACGCACTGAGGTCTCTGACCGTCCGAAGCTTGTAATGGAACTGAGCTGTGGCCATGGCCTTCAGGTTCTCCTCAGCAGCCTGCTGCAGCCCCACGGAGACGATTCTTACCCCATCTTCCCGCAGGGCCCGGGAAGCCTCTTCCACGTCATCCTCGGACTCGGCGGAAGCCAGCACCACCAAGATCGGGGGAAACAGTTTCTTGTCTCTCCCGTTTGCCGGTCCAGAGAAGTAGGTCCTGTGAGCTTCCCTGAGAGCGTTTCCTACCCTCAGGGAGCCGCCCAGGAACGTGAAGTTCTTTTTGAGGTGGTTCAGCATGGGATTCCTGCTCTTGAAAGTGCTCAGCTGGAATTCACTGTGGAGCTTGTCGCTGTACTGGGCCAAGGCCACGCGGTATTTGTTGGCCTCTATGGGGAGACTGTTGATCATTTTGTTGATGAACGTTTTCACCAGAGGGAAGGACTTAATTCCCAGGTGATCAGAGCCGTCCACCAGAAACACAATGTCTGCATACTCAGGGCCTAAAACCACACACAAACATAAACAAAGCATAAACTTTAAAAATTTATTACCATGTTTAATGCCAACCATACGGGGAAAAATTTACTTTCATTTTTATCTGTATTTTTAATACCTCTCAATGAACTAAAAATAATAGTCAGAAATTACACATCTTCTCAAGAAAAAAAATTTGTTTCTTGGGCTGATTCTTTTATACGCCCTCTCATTTGGACTGATCACAAAATCAAGCATCACTTTTGCAAGTTAAAAGTTCTGGGTTTTTATACCTTTAGTGAATAATTTCCCATTGTATCTTATAATTTTTTTTCCTTTCAGAATTTGACTTCAATTTATATCAAGAGGATAAAAATTATCATTAAGAACTATACTGCTTCAAATTTGTTTGAATGGAGAAATCGGAAAGATAACCTTTTGTTGTGATTCCAGTTTAAACACTGCAACAAGTGATCTGATTAATTTAAAAATATACTAGCTTTATATGCCAAGAGTCAAATTGATTAAGTTTAAAAATACCTAAAATCATAAAAATATGGATTGCCTTAATTTATTTTAAAGTTTTTATTACATTTTGATGAATCATATGAGTATTATAAGTGGCAAATTTACTCTCATATAAAATGTGATCGAAATCAGTACAACTTAAGCTAGAAAAAGAATTACGGTTTTAGTTTCTCTTAAAACTATAATTTTTATACAAGAATACAATAATTTGCTGAACTTTTAAGGTTTCATTCAATGCTAGACCCAATGCTCAGTGTGCAGAATTACATTTTTATGTGACAGAGAATCACTGGGTTCCAGCACAAAATGTTTGTTGGTGGTCTACTGGTTTGAATTCAGAGCTCTCATCACTTCAGTATAAGATCCATTTTTGTATGGAGAAGGAACAGAAATGTCCATGTTTATCTAGATGGTGTGTATTTAAGAAAATACAATGTAACTGAACAAGTGATGGAAGTCCTTATTTTGTTATCACCTAATTCTACTGGCTCAATATACTTGGTCTTCAGTTTCCTCACCTTTAAAATGAGTAGATTCAATGAAAAAATATCCAAGGTCCCTCCTCACTCTGAGATTCTGATTATCTGCAATGATTACTAGGTAAATTCTAATCAAATTATAACCATATCAATCATTTCCTGTCTACGACTGCTAGGAAGCCAGATTTGGCACCCCTGTAATTGAGGCATAGTGGATAAAATCATTCTTGTCTTCTAAATAACCGAATTTCAACCAGTTTGAGATTCCTTTGATGATCATATAGCCAATAGCATCTCAGGAGAAGATGTAAATGAAGGTGAATCAATCCCTTCCTCTAAGAGAAAGTTGGAACCCCTACGGGGACTCTCAGGTGAGCCCTGCCCCGGATGGCTTGACATGTGATCAAAAGTGACTTTTCTATTCATGGATAAACTCTCACATCTTGTGTAGAGAAAATAAATGTAGACAACTGGCACATGAGCTAGATTTGGGTTCTGATAAGGCTCATCACTATCTCTGAACCATAAAATAATTGGGGGAAAAGTACCATCTTTCTTTAAAAATATCAGGCCCAATGAGACATCAAAGGAAGATGTTTGTAGTCTTAGTTTACTTCTTCAGAAAACTTGCTACCAAGGTCAGTGTCCTTGAGAAAGTTGTAAAAGAGGTCGCCCTGGACATGAGAGACCAGTATATGAACTAATTATTTAAGGGGTGGTAGAGGCACTGAAGTGTAAGCAAGTATGTATGTATATATGTATATATGTAAGTATGTATGTATGTATTTTTTAGGCGAGGCAACCCTTGGTTGTCAGCTTACAATCCCTTAGTTTTTGTTTTTTATGTCTACAGCACCTGGTCTTCCTAGGTGATCTCCCATCCAAGTACTAACCAGGCCTGACCCTGCAAACGGGATCGGGCTTGTTTAGGGTGGCATGGCCGTAGACATAGGCCAGTATTTTGACTTCAAGTCCACTGGACGTAGATTACTGACAGTCAGTAGACAGCTATGGAGGTTTCTCTTCAGAGTTAAAGCACTTTCTTTACAATAAGCAGAGAAATAGCTTAAATTGGAGCAAAATTTGCATGCTTAATTAAGATAATA